CAGCGCGGCACCTTGGGCGTCTTCTGTGGCGTCGGCGTCACCGGCGGCGTTGTTTTTGGCCAGGTGTTCAGTCTGGCTGACATCTTTGGCACTGCGGAGCTCTGGCATTATGCGTTATCCGCTTACATATTGCTAGTCCTTGTGTGCTACGCGCCCTCGTTTTGGTTCCCGGAAAGTCCCAAGTTTCTCTATTTGATCAAGGGCAATCCAGGGGCGGCACGCCGCGAGCTGGTGCGTCTGCGTGGCGAGGATGCCAACAAGCTGATTGAGCAGGAAATCGCTGAAATGCAGATGGAGGCCAATGATGAAATGCAGAGCAGCAGCTTCGGCGACGTGCTGCGCGATCCGCGTTTCCTGATGCCGCTCTTCATTGTCTGCTGCTTCCAGGGTGGCCAGCAGCTGTCGGGCATAAATGCGGTGAGTTTTCTAATTGATTTAATTAGTTTTGTTTAAATATACTTAACTTTATGTCTTTTGCAGATCTTCTACTACTCCGTCTCCATATTCACCGAAGCCGGCTTCTCCGAGCAGAACGCACAGTGGGCCAATTTGGGCGCTGGCCTCATGAACTTGTGCATCTCGCTGCTGGGCCCGCTGCTGATGGCCACCTGCAAACGTCGCAAGCTGATGATGCTCTCCAGCTCGCTGTGCTCCGTATTTCTATTCTGCATTGCGTTCGTTTTGTACTATATTGTAAGGACGCAGCTTGTCAGCGCCTTGAAATCGTTCTAATTTCCATTGTTTGTTGTTTGCAGAGAGCGGTTAGCTGGTTTCCCTATGCCTGTATTTTCTGCATTCTGGCCTATATATTCTTCTATCAGTTCGGTCTCGGACCGATTCCTTATTTTATTGGCTCAGGTATAATTTGAAGAAGCCACAGTACCTGAATACACCTATTCCTATATATCTATATTTATATACTAATCTATTTCAATTTACAGAATTGTTTGAGGTGGCGCCACGCCCAGTGGCCATGTCCATGGGCAGTCTGTCGTCATGGACATGTAATTTCATCGTCGGCATGGCCTTTCCCAGTTTGCAAAGCGCCTGGGGCGCCTTTGTTTTCCTACCCTTCTCAGTTACCTGTGTGCTGCTGTTCGTTCTAACGAAATTATATTTGCCGGAAACGCTGGGACGTGATCCATCCGAAGTAGCGCCACTTATCGCAAAAGGTTTCCGCTCCAAGGTTAAATAAGGATGTGGCTGAGGCACAAAACCGGAAAGTAGTTTTAATTAAATGCTTCGCTACGCAGCGTATTATATTAAGTTAGTTTTAAGTTAATTGTTAGTTGTAATTTTCATAGTTAATGAGGTTTATGCAGGACACATGCCTCACCTGACAATAAGAGTACGTAAATTGTAAATTTGTAACATCAATGTACAACTAATTCTTAAGACACCCTGTATAATAATGGTGCCCATTGCCAACATATGTCGAAGGCTGTGTTTGGCTCTTATCGCTGCACAAGTTTAAGTTAATTGGCTGTGTTGTTACTTTTGCTAATTGAATTTACTGGGAGAAATGTTAGTTAGTTCAATTAATTGGGGGCGGCTAGCAACATTTATCCTTACCTAATGGATACTCGGTCTCTGATTCATTGCCTTAAAAATAAGTCTATATTGCAATCAGTTAACATAATTGCCAGAATAAACTATAAATCAAATGTACTCTCCACTTGATGCCTACGTTTCCCACGCTGGCGTGCCACAATCTTCCTGAAGCGTTCAATGTGTCTTAACATTTCAATGATAAGGGAATGTCATAAAACAACGACACAAGCCAATGATAACCAAGCACTGCTTTTGTAACTGGGCCGAAGAGTTTTATAAAACTGTGAACTGACTAGAAGATACCCTAGACCCATACGCGTCGAATTACTTAAGACAACGGCTGTGCTTTAAGCTGTGTTCTAAGTTTCACGTTATTGCAAATATACTGCTTAAATAAAATTGTGCCTGATATCCAATCTTTGTTTAATTTCTTTGCTCCTAAAAACAGCTTTAAAATAAAGTTGTATATAAATTATTGCCTTAAATTGTAAATTGGCTGTTTAAAAAGTCTTAGATCTAGAATCTGTTTATACTCTATCAGCATATCAAATTTGCTGTATCTTACTCTTATAATCTTAATCGAAGTTCTTTGATTCTTGAAATGAGCTTTTTTTGTTTACAAAAAAAAGGTAAAATATAAGAGAACCTACATATATTCAGAGTCGTTCAATATATATGCATAAATGCTGAGATAAATAACGTGAAACAGCAAAATTAAGACTTGCGCTTTCACAACTTTAAGAGCTTGTAATGCTAAAAATAAAATATGATCTCAGCCAGTGTTGCCAAATGTTACCTCATTAAAGTAGCTGAAACATTTGCTAAAATAGCCTCAAGCTGAAAAAGCTTTCTAAGCGCAACTTGGCAATAAACTGTCAAAGCAGCTAACACAGTTTAAAATTTCAACTGTTTTCGTCCACTGAAAATGGCCAAATATAGTTAAAAAATAGCTGAAACTGGCAACACAGTTTAGCATCAAAAAGCTGCGGCTATGGTTTTTGGAGGGGAAAAACCCACACTAGAAATATTGTTTCTAATTTGAAATTTATGGGCATTACTTGTCATAGTTATTATTTGTTGTTGCTTACACCAATCTAAAAGTTGATACTGAACCTGCTTATATTCACCTTATTGGTTTCGGAGATGCCGTCTAATGTAACGTAGTCACACACAATACCATTACACCCTTTTACTTAGCCAGTTTTAAAGGGTATAAAGTGAAATCAAGCATTTAGCAGAGACTGTGATGGGTTGCTCGTCGTTTCACTGACGACTCTTTAATTTGAGATTGGGCGTTCAGGTGTGTAGTCTGTGGCAATCTATGACTCAGTTCGAGCACAGCATCGTTAGACAAAGCAACGGGTGTAGAGGAAACGGAATATGGTTGTTATTATGGTATTTGGGGGTATTCCAGTGAAGCCACATCACAGGCTCTGCCTGGCCTGAGTTTGTGTCTTAAATCTTTTGTTTTGCATATGTAAAATCTGTTTGCATTATTTGCAGCACGTCAATGATGCAGGCGAGGGCTGGACCTGGTTGCTGTTCCTAATCTGCCTGACAACCACCTTGGGCACCACGGTGCCGGTGGGTTATTTCTTAGGTGTGCTCAACGCGCCCGCTAAGCTGATCAAGAGCTGGTGCGCCAATGTGCTTTCCACCGAATACGATACGAACAGCAATGAGAATCAGCTGAATTTGTTGTGGACATGCATTGTGTCCATCTATTTGATTGGCGGCATTTGCGGATCCTGCTTCAGTGCCTGGTGCAGCAACAAATACGGACGGTGAGTCGCTTCAGTTCAATAATATCCGGTGATCAACCAGTTTCTTACACATCTCTACCAGCAAGGGCTCACTGGTAATTAGCAGCGTGATCCTAATGATTTGCGGCGTGCTCTTCACGTGGTGTCGTGCAGCCAAATCCATCGAGATGCTTATGACTGCCCGCTTCTTTGGCGGCATTGCCTCGGCTTTGATCTTTACCGCTCAGCCAATGTATTTACTGGAGCTGGCGCCGCCTACTCTCAGCGGCAGCGTTGGCGTCTTCACCTGCATTGGCGTCACGGGTGGCATACTGCTCGCCCAGATCGTCAGCATGCCTCAGCTGCTGGGCAACGAGGAGAACTGGCCATATGCATTGAGTTTCTATGCGCTGCTGGTGCTGATCTGCCTGCTGCCTCTCTTGTGCTACCCGGAGAGTCCGCGCTGGTTGTATCTAGTGAAAGGCGATGTCGCTCGCAGTGCACGGGCATTGCGTCAGCTGCGCAGCCACCAAACCAGTGTGCAGCAGGAAATCGATGGACTGGAGCAGACGCTTGCCTTCAATAAGAAGTCCAGCAGCATGTGCCAGGTGCTGCGCGACAAGGAGCTGTTCCTGCCGCTGCTGCTGGTCTGCGTATTCCAAGCCACACAGCAGCTGAGCGGCATCAATGCTGTAGGTTTTGGAATATCGCCACTGACTCAGCTTCTGCAATTGAATGTTAATCTTGTATTACAGATCTTCTTCTATTCGCTGTCCATACTTACCAGTGCAGGCTTCCCGACCAACTCGGCTACGTGGTTGAATCTGGGCCTTGGTGGGTTCAATCTTTGCACCTCGCTACTTGGACCGCTGCTGCTGCGCAAATTTAATCGACGTCCGCTGCTGATGTGCTCCTGCGCTCTCTGCGGCCTGTCTCTGACAGGCATGTCCTTTTCCTTGTACTACCTGGTTGGTTCAGAGGGAATGGCTCTGCGCTATGTGAGCATCGTGTTCATCTTATCCTTTATACTGGGCTTTCAACTAGGTCTCGGACCCATTGCCTACTTTATAGGCTCAGGTATGTTTTCAATTTTCGAGCTGTTTCTGGTAATCAGTGCCATTTGCTTGCAGAGCTCCTGGAGGATGCACCCCGGTCTGTGGCCATGTCCATGGGCAGCCTGTTTTCGTGGATTGGCAACTTTCTTATTGGCATGTGCTTCCCTTTGCTGCAAAGCGTCTGGAGCTCCTTTGCCTTTATGCCGTGCATGTGCGTTTGCATATCTTGCCTGATACTTACCTGGCGTTATCTACCCGAGACGCGTGGCCGCGAGCCGAAGGATGTAAAGCCGCTCATGAGTCAAGGACTACGCTCCAAGATCAATTAGATGAATATAAATAGCGTATTTCATATATACTTTCCTTAATCTACATTTATTTGTTCAAATCAAAGATATACTATGCAAGCAAATAAAAACTTCTTAAATTCATAATAATTTATAACGCCATGTTAATTGCATTTTCAACTGTGCAATAAGCATCGAGTACTATTGCCCACTTAACGGTAACGTATGCGAATGCGCAGAGTCGCAATTTGTGTGGCTCTTATACGCTCACTAGCTGTTGCACTCTCTCCTAATTTGCTCTGCTGAGATGATCGCTGGGCCAATTTCGACGTCACAGGTGAAGCGTCAAAATTAGCATTTGTATTCGTTGTCTATAAATATATAGCCCCCAGTGACTAGTAGAACGTTGTGGCGAACGTTTCGGTTTCGGTTAGTAGCAGCGCGCGCACAATCTCCAAATGCGGCAGAATCGGCATTAAATACGGCAGCGCCTAGTGAAGTGGAATTAAGTAATGTACGTTTAAAAATAAAAATTCGGTATGGAGCACAGTGCGTGCTACAGGTGCCAATAAATAAATAGAGCAACATGCATATTTTTAAATTGAGCTAGTGATAAAATAACATGCGTGTATCTACACATGTATGTGGTTTAAAATAGATGTGCATGGAAATCAGCTGCGAAATAGAATCAAAACGAAACGAACCACAACGAAACGCAACAATGCTGCAGTGACGACAACGCATTAGTGACGTCACGCCCGGCGTGTCGTGAATGGCATCTGGCAGAGAAATAACAGAAAACAGCAATAACAACACACACACACACAAACGCACAACATATATATAAACATAGCCGACAGCAACAACATACAGAATCAATAAACATATTCCAGTGACCGTTGATAGTTATCGATTACCAATGATAAATATGTTTTCCATTTATGTGAATACAATTAAGAACAATAAACAAGATAAATCTGTGTATGAATGTACAATTTGCATAAATTCGTTAAGGCAACTCTATGCGCCGGTCAATGCACGAAAATTAGTTTTTTTTGTTGGGTCCACATCAATGTCTGTCAAAAGGAATATACAACATTTGGTAGCCAAGTACATATTCCACTGTAATTTATTATTATCCATGTCATTTGCTTTGCACACACACACAAAACACACACACACACACACTCAAACACAATCCGAATCCATTTTACCGCAAATTGCGCTTAGCATTTTTTCGTGTGTTTTCATTTGCATTCAAACATTTCTTTTAGTTTTTTTTTTCTTGTGTTAAATTTTAAAATATTTTCTCGTGTAGCTGTTGGCACTTAACATTCGCTGCCTGTCTATAATATTTTTGTTGTATGTATATTCTTTTGACGTGGGTAATTATGTACATTATGAAAAAATTAATTATGCAAGTGCGTTGCGAAGAGTAACTCAATGTCTGTGCTTTGTTTGTATCAATAATTGGATTTTCTTTTTTTTTTTTTGTGGAATCCTGCAGCAGCATAAATAACAATTTAGGGGGCGTTGCTCGGCGATAAACAAATTCGGCATTTATGGGCCAATTCAAATTTTAATTAAAAAGCATCTAATTTGGCCAGGCAAAAGTTAAAAGAGCCAGCCACTTCCCAGAAAGAAACTACATACATATGTATATACATAATACACAATATGAATGCGTATTCGCACAAATCATCGAGCACAGTTCCCTTTCATTTTTCCTTTTTAGTTGTTGTCTTTTGATCTTCTTTTTTTTCCTAATGTTATTTATTCCGCCTTAATTATTCGAAATTTTTGCTTTTCGTTTTTGAGGTCAATTAGCATTTTGTTTATTTTTTAATGCTAAAGCCTATTATTATTAGTTCGCAACACCCTCGAGGCTTTAGGTTAATGAAATTCCGACATAAAGGCCCATTAAGAGTTAATTGTATTTTAATAGCCAACAACTTTTAAACTTCTCGAGATTCGCATTTTTACTGCTACAATTTCCAGGAACTCGCATGTAATTCCTCTTTCTTTTTTACGATTTCTTAATTGAGTTAAAACTAAAAAACATAAAGCTGACATAGTGTTTTATTTTTAATATTTATTTCCTTTGTGTGTGTGTTTTTTTTCGGTTACCTTCCCACATTTTAATTATTGCTTTAATGTGCTTGTGTTGTTTTCTATTTGGCTTATTGCTCGTAATTTTCATTCTCTCCTTCCCTTAAAAAAAAAAACATTCGTTTTTTGTTTTTGTTTTGCTTTTGGCGCAGATTTGTTTGGTTTTTAATTATCTATGTATGTGTGTTTAGCTTGTTTGTGCTTGTAAATACTGCAGACATCAATTGCAAATTGAATTAAATTTATGAGCCAACCCCGGCCGCAACAACTGTAAATACAAAGTGCTTATCTATGTTTGGCTGGTTTCTTTGGGGTTTGACCAGATCTATAAATTAGATGTTCCCACTGTGGCGGCGCTTTGCGGCTTATGAATTAAGAATAGACAGATACCGCTCTCTCTCTCTCTCTCTCTCTCTCTCTCTTTCTCTTTCTCTCTTGGCCACACATTTCCTTAATTTTGGCAGAGCAAAAAAAAAGACCACAAATTAGACAAATGACTGTTGCCTGTGGCAGAAGTTTATAAAAATAAGCTTCAACATATTTTACACCCACCAAATGAAACAAGAGTGGTACCAGAGAGAGTGTGTCCGACGAGGCGATACCCTGTAACCATGTACACCTCAAAACTCAAAATCTGGAACGTTACTTAAATTTATGAAAATCGCATATAAAGGCGGTATTTAGGAGAAGGAGCAAGAAACCGATTTAATGAAAGAGCGAGAACGTTAGAGGCGTAGCTGTCCAACTTACCCTTACTTCCTCTTTTTCTTGATGAGTTAATTTTTTATAAAAAAATATTTACTTACACAAAATCCTGGATGTACATCACGTCAAGTTTTTTAGGGCGATTTCGAAGACTTTAGTCACAAATATATGATAGCAAATATATATCTCTAATAAATTTGGGTGTATACTTTTAGAGACCCGAATGATGATGTTGATTAATAGTTTAAATATTTTATATAAATAAAGACGACTTCTTCTGCCTGTTACGAGAATATGAACAGCTTAATTGTACACTTTCTCAACGGGTACAGGGTATAATGAAAAACATAAACGAAAGAATGAAAATTTGGCAAAATCTTGGGCACAGCCGCAGCACCACAGACAATATCGCATCGTTATGGCTGGGAAGTGTTTAATTTGATGCTGTCGGTACGAGAAACTAGGCGACAAGTGTCATAATCAGAGCAATCCCCCAAATGCCACCCACAGACGCTTCTCATGGCCAATCCCCGAGACGCTCCACGGACCAGTTGCCAAACGTGCAGAGCCCCAAATGAAATAATTCATATTCATGTAGTTCGTCTATAAGACCATTCAAATCCCTAGATAAATATTTAAATTAATATGTTGGAAAATAACATTAAAATGTCACAGCGCCAGAATTATTATAACTTATAATTTATAATTAAAATGAGTTGTGCTCCGTGGGACTTATTTTTGTGAAGGAACTTAATAAATTGATATAAACTCGAAATGTGATAAAAAGAGTAATAATTCGAAAAGTATGCCTCCAACAGAATTAATTGATAAATATATATATATTTTTTTTAGAATATAGTTTTGAATTTAAATGATTTGTTGAAACGGATGTTTGTCGGCAAAATTCAAATAGAAAAATGGCATGCATATGATTTGGATATATAAATATGCTAAGAAAATAATTTAGTTTTCAGGCACAAATAATTCTCTTTTATAAACTATCATATTTAAAGAACTTTAAGAATTGAAACTTAGTCAAAGTTTATAATACATTCAGAATATAGAGTATTAGACAGATCGTACTCTCTATAGAGAGATTAATTAAAATACAATGTTGCTGCCATAAACATGTCTAGCACACTGTGCTGGAGATTCCCTCGCAACAAATAAAATAATAGACTCGCGTAAATAAATGTTAACTGACGGCTCAACGATTTATAGATAATATAGAGTCTTTAGAGAGATGCTTTTGTTTATTTTTGGCACTTTGTTTTAATTGCGTCTGCAGGAAGTCCTTGCACAATGCTCAAAATAATCGAAATGTTTACTTTTCACACAGTTGTTTGAGCAACCGACGCCAATCCAAATCGATGGGCAGGCCAACCAAATCGAAGCATGTCCAGACCAAAGCCGTTCTCAGCCGTACTCGAGAGATCCCAACGAGCCGCTAATCGAGGCAGTGTGGTCAGATTGGATGTGGTCGAGTCATGTCTTCGCGGCGCAGCTCCTTTCGGCGCAGAGAGAAGCCGGCATTCGAGCGGTTCAAGGAACATTGCCGTCACTTTACGGCGTTTATGTTCAGCAATGTTGGCATCATACTCCTAGTCACATTTTATACAATTGGCGGCGCCTTCATCTTTCAGGCAATTGAAATTTTCGAATACGATAAACTCAAGACAGATAAACCGTATCGCTTCATCGAGCGCAACGCGAGCGGCGATTGTCTCACTCGCATCTGGGAGCTCACGGCGGAGAATATTAGTTTCTACGATCGACAGATCTACAGAAAACGGTATGATAGAGGAGTTAGTGTGTTTGATAAATAGTCTCAATTGACCTTTGTTTTTCTTTCAGTGTTAATGATGTGCTGCTGGACTATCAGCGCGCTGTGGTTAGGAAACAGCTGCTGGGCCCCGATGTGGATCATCAGTGGAGCTTTTCGGGCGCATTTCTCTACTCGCTGACTGTCATCACGACCATTGGCTATGGCAATATAACGCCCAGTTCCGATTGGGGCAAGCTGGTGACCATTCTCTATGCCATTATTGGCATGCCGCTCTTTCTGCTCTACCTGTCCAACATAGGTATGAATATAAGAGCTATGTATATACGTATATACAATCAGATAGAAGCAAACACACCTGTAATACTCACATAGGAACACAGACTAGATTCTGTCTACAGACAGTGTAGTGTAGAAATGCCTATTTGAATTCGTGAGAATCGCATAGAAGGGCAACATTTAAACTTGCTCTGCATTTCATATAAGAAAATACATATGTACATATTCATACATTGAAGAAACAATGACTTTAGCTAAATTTTGGATAAGATTAAGTTATAGTTGAATTCAAGATTATGTATTTTTATCTAAGTAATTTAAATCACTTTATTATCTTTAATATACACAGGCGATGTGCTGGCCAAATCCTTTAAATGGATCTACTCAAAGGTCTGTCTGTGTCGTATTTGTCCGGGCGTGGCCAAGCGGCGCATAATACGCGAGCGTCGCAAATTGCGACAACTAGCTCGAGCGGTAAGTGTACTTAGTTCATTTATTAGCATTTTTAATAAAACCTTTAATCTCTGCACAGCTGCAGCTGCACAACATGGAGAGCGCGCGCGGCAGCAGCAGCACCAGCTACTCCAGCACTAGCAAGAGCACCACGAACAGCAGCAGCAGCAGCGGCAGCAGTGACTACACCAAGAGCTCTGTTCAAACCTCCAGTGTGCTGGATGTGCCCTTTTCCGAATCAGATTCCGATATCGAACGTGAGATACGCGGCAGCACCGATGAAATAACGGTGCCCCTAACTGTCTGTGTATTTGTGATGGTCAGGTAAGGGACGTTTCCATTTGGCATTATACATATTGATCAATTTTTGTACAGTTATATATTATCGGGTGCCATACTCTTTGGACGCTGGGAGGATTGGAACTATCTGGATGGCAGCTATTTCTGTTTCATCTCATTGAGCAGCATTGGATTCGGTGACCTGGTGCCGGGTGATCGTGTGGTAAGGCTTTTATTTAGTCTGCCTTTTGATAGAGGGTAGAACATTTTATATCCATTTGCAAATCGATGCAAAATATAGTTTTTGTATTAAAAACTTTTTTATTTTTCAATATATCCTACACAAGTTCGGCAGTTTCAGAGCTTGAAATTACGAGCTTTACTATGCTCCCTACTATATATGTATATATATAATCTTTGGCACTCAGAAGATTTATCTTTATTTTTCGCCAGATAACCGCCGATAAAGACAAGGTCGAGGTGAGCTTCATTTTATGTGCGGTTTATCTGCTGCTGGGAATGGCCCTAATTGCCATGTGTTTCAATTTAATGCAGGTAAGTATCAGAAGATATGTGTATAATGAATTCATATAGACTGTCTGTTCTTCTCTTAGGAACAAGTCATTCATAATATGCGCGCTATAAAGCGTGGTTTTAAGGCCTGCTTCCGCTGCCGCAGCTCCTAGCAAATAGTTTGTTGACGTACAAAGAACCAAAAATCATCAATTACGCTAAATATTAGTTAACAGTTAAGCCGATCATTAGTTTAAGTAGATATGTACATGTATATATGTTAGCAAGAATGTGTTCCTTTTTGTTTTTTTTTTTTTTTGTAAATCAATCTATTAACTCTATTTTTAAATACTAGTGTAGAATTCTTAAATTATTAATTTCTAGTAGTATATAACAATAGAAACGTAGAATGCTAGATACTGCTGCCCGTTGGCCATTCCTCGAATTTGTACTCTGACAATTGACTATGTTTTATATATATAAGTATATAAATGAGAAATAATTTATGCTCTTTAGAATATAATATTTTCCCCTTTTATAATCGAAGAAAATTTGTTTAACAATACGGCATTTAGTGCAATCTAGAGCTGTCAAATTCTTTTTCTTTTTACTAATCGCGCTTGCTCCGATTTGGACATTTGCTTTTCTAAACGCTTTTCCTTCGCTATTAAAGATTTGACCTGACGATCGTGCTCCAATGGCGCTGTGCCAGATAGCTCCGCATAGCTGGGCAATGTTTCAGAATATTTCTCCACACAGGCATCCTTAAATTGCTTGCTTAGCTCTATAGAGACGTGACTATGTCCCGGCGAGGTGAGCATGTCAAAAGCGGTGCCCTTAAGGGCCTCGAATTGCTGACGCGTTTTGCCCGTCACCTGTTTGCGTCGTATTTTCGTTTTCGTAATGGGCACGGCCGTAACCTTATGTGTGTCGCTCGCAGCTAGCGATTTTTTCTGATCCACAATCAGCTTTCGATGACGCACCTCAAGTTTCATGCTGGGACTCGGCGGTTTTGTTGATGATACTTTTGCCAACTTTTTCTTCTTCTGCAGCGGTGACCACGATATTGGGCCCTTCGGCTGGGTGGTGGTGTTGGGCTTGCGGCGCGCATAGGTACGCACAGGCGGCGCCTTATGCATAAAATTACATATAGCCGTGTCTCCAGTCTTTGTCGAAAGAGCCAAACTGGATGCGGATGTTGGTCGCGGCGCTGATTCGGTAACGACAGGCAGCGAGGAGTTAGCCACCGTGGAAGCGGCAGAAGACGACTCCAGGAACGGCAAAATAGAATCAATACTAACGGGTATGGGTGAAGCAGACTTCCGCACGGGTTTGCAACGAGCTTGCTCCGGCGTCAGAAGCAGTGAAAAATTCTCTTTGTCAGCCCTTATGACAGCCCTTACGGACGTGCCACTGGATGGCGTGCTCCTGGCCAATGGTCCGGATATGTTTGCAATGTGCTGCTCATAGTTGAATCTCTGTGGTGTGCCAGCGCCAGCTACGACTCTAACGTCGCCCAATTTAGAAGCGGGCAGTATTAACTGGCCCGTTTGTACATTGGCAGCGGCAGCATCGCAGCAACGATGATTGGGTATTATGTTCTGAAACGTAATCCGTCCCTTGATAATTTGCGGCATAAAAAGCTCACTTTCGAATCCCACACAATCGACCAGCACCACATTGTTACCGGACAATAGCTTAATTTTGAAAGTCAACGCTGCGCCTGGAGCTTGGCTTGGCATTTTTTGTATATATCAATTGATGATTTTGCGAAGAACGTGCAGAGCACTTTTAATGTATTTTAAGCAGCTGTGTAAATATTAAAATAAACAACTCTGATACAATAATTACTATAAAACTAAATTTGACACATCTGCAGTAGGTAAAAAATAATGTTAATACGGCTTGTTATTGTTATTACGGCGTCGATGGGATTTTTTCGATAACCGCATAGCCTCAATAATCGATTCAAGTCGCGTCTAATAACTATCGATATCAATGAGCAGTTGCGCATGGTGACATTATGGCCGTGAATGAATTCTAGGAGTGCAAAGTCTCTAAAATTACATTATATGTTAAAATAAAAAGATTTATATATGGCAAACATTCGACATATACTTGCAAAACTTGTTATGGCTCAGGGCTGCATAGTAATTCAAGTTCAAATGAAGATGACATCACTAAATTATTCCACTGTTAGAGTTCAGTTATTATACAGTGCCATGTTATCTATTTGCTAACAGCTGTTCAATTTAAAATTTACACCTGTATTTTCCATTTTTAAGTAAGACGCTTTAATATGTGTGTGTTGTGGTCGCAATTTCGCACTGAATTGCATTTGTTTTTTTTTTTAATATTTTTCAAAATTTTAACTTGCAAATTTAATAATAATAAAATTTCCAGCAATATATTGGCTTTTACTGTTAACAACACATTAGCGAAATGTTAGTTAACAGTTGTCCGAGCAAACGAGCGTAACGTAGAAACAAACAAGAAAGTTATATTAAATGCAATAAATAATTTGCAATCAACAAATAAAATAAAGCTGAAAGGTACGCAAAACGCAGTGCAAACGTGGCAAATATTATTGCGTAGTGTCGGGCAAAAAAAAAACAAAATAATTGGGGCGAACAACAAGCAAATTAGTATATGGTATATAAGAGTGCAGATTGCTGGTTAAACTTAGGCGTAACACATAATTAAAGTAAATGTGTTTTCTCAATTTAATGGTAATTCCTTCAAGAGTGAAAAAATCAGGTTGAAGTGTTTGATGATTCATAGTTTTAAAGGAAAGATACGAATAGAAATGAAAAGGTGGCAGTGACGCGATATATTGACTGCCAACCACTCCGCGCCTCACCCCCCGGGCCCAACACAAACAACGAAAAGTAGCAAAAACACAAAAACACGCTCAACTCCATAGTGAAAAAAGAAACCCCAATTATCTTGTATATAAAAATACATTTGAACGTTAATAATGCATGCCAAATACATGTTGTGTGTGTGTAGGTCGCGTTTAGTTTTGCAAACTACAAAAGAAAGCGATTGTTGCAACCATATAAATCATATGTGTATATATGTATATGTTTTATACATATGCATAGTATTTACATACATACATATGTACGCATTGGCCATTGTACGAATAGATGCATGTCATCATGTTGTCTGTATGGGCACACTTATCTCACACTTCACATTTAGATAAGTGGAAATTGATTTATTTATTTGCTTCCGCTAAATCAGTAAAAACGTACTACAAACGTTAATCAATACCAAATAATATAATGTGGAATATGGTTAATAAATACTTCTCTTGTGGTTTTTCTAGAATTGCCGCCTACAAAACTTCGTCTAATAAGCATACATACATACATATGTAGCTCGATAACGTTTTCTGTGCGTGTGTGTGTGTGTGTGTGTGTGTGTGTGTGTGTGTGTGTGTGCAGGCGTTACACTATTCGCGTGGACTTTGTTTGGTTTAGACCGCCGGCGACCCATTAAGATAAATCTCAGACAGAGTCGCTCCACTTGTTAAGCAATTGTGGTCCCGCATTGAAATCAATTTGATTCGAACTGCTGTGGGTTTACTTTTCTCTAAGCAGCTGAAAAAATAGAAAGAAGGCACGCCGAAGATTTAATACGCTTGCAGACTGACGAGGCACAGGGAAATTAGTTAATGACGAGAAGATTTAAGATATCTTGAAAAAAAGCTTTTCGTACAAGAACCTAATTTTCGACCGGCAGCTATATGATATAACGTTTCAATGACGACTTTTCAATACCCTCTCATTGCTATAGACTTAATATATTTTAAAAAGTAAATTAATAGAAATGTACTACAGTAAATAATTTAAGATTGAATTCGATTTTCGAAAGTAATCGTCGATCCCAGAGCCCTAGGTATGCATGTCGCATTGTTTCAACCATAGTAGTATTTTGTAATTACTTTGGAAACATGTTAAAAACCGGACAAATTATAAAAACACAATGAATATAAAATAAATATAAATAGGAAAATAAGATGTCAAAAGCTTTGAATTCTGTTTTCTTTAACTATTTTAGTTTGTGTTAGTTTTCAATCGAACTTTGAATCGACGAATTTGATTAGTTTAATAACATTTTTGGGAAATCCCAGTCTTATCTCATGACATAGTCATAATACCCATCCAACAATTAGAAACCAATGCAGCATGGCCACCCATTAATGTTTTTGTACCCAGCTGGTTTCTTATCAGCCTTGAAAAGTACACAGACGAGTATCACACGTTTCGGCTTTGCTTGGTGTCAGGAAAAAAGTGTCCATGTTTATCAACTAGTATTAACTTTTGCATTCAATCTTATTCGTGTATATTTTCAGTGATTCACTTGCTCTCACTCACACAACTGAGCGCTTGGTTACCTTAAAATGGATGATATTACGGTGCACGATAATGGCTACCAGAACAACTCGTTCTGTCTGGTGGTGGGCAATCGCACCACGATCTTTACCAGCGCCTACAATGGCATACCCGAGACTCTTATATTGAATACGATCTTTTGGGTGCTGCTCATCCTTCTGTTTACCACGCTGCGTCATCAGGCGAGCGACTATCGCCTGGCGCTAGTCAATGCCAATGGCACCAAGAAGCGTTGGACGGAAATATTTTATTCGCGTGCCGCCAGCTATGTCGAACCCCAACCGGGCACATCCACGCAAGAGAATCCCACACCCAGGCCCAGTGTGGATTCAAATCAATCCCAGCAAGGGGACTCCACGCCGCTATCGCCCATACAAACCGAACCGGGCATTTTCAGTTGGATAAAAGTCATCTTTAAGCTGCGCAAGCAAACGATTCTGCTCCACTCAGGCCCGGATGCGGTGCACTACTTGTCATTTCAGCAGCATTTAATGATTGTCATGGCAGTGGTCACCATCATTTCGCTGGCTATTATTTTGCCCATCAATTTCTTGAATGGACCCACGGAGACGCCGTACGATGTTAATGCATTTGGGCGCACCACAATGGCCAATTTGTCGCCGAATTCGTCCTGGCTGTGGGTGCACACGATCATTACCATATTGTATATACCGCTGGTGGTGCTGGTTATGCGACGATCCTCGGGTCGCAATGCGTTCAAAAAGGCAGCTACGCGCACCATCATGATATCAAATATATCCATCAGGTTGTTTTGACTTTTATTGCTTATAAAGTTATATGTGTTGAATATATTCTTTGATTTTGTTTGCAGTGATCGCAACAAGACCGTCATACGCAATTATATGCAGGAGCTGTTCCCGGACGTGACCATCGAGAGCGTCAGCATTGCCTACAACATTTCCCGCCTGTTTGTCCGTAACGCGGAATATGAAAGGGCGCACGATGCGCGTGTTTATTGTGAACACCATCGGGATCGGGACACGCTAATGGCCAAGCCGGAGATGTGCTCGTGCAAGAAGGAGAATGCCTTCGAGTATTATCAACGCGAGGAGCGCAAGCTCTCTGGGGATGTGGCACGTTTGCGAGCTTCGACCATGAATGAGCCATTGGACATTGCTTTTCTGACCGTCTCCACGGTGCAAGAGGCCCAAAATATTGTTACCCACTTTACGCCCGGCACATACAGACAGTGGCACGTTATGTTTGCACCATCGCCCGATGACATCTTCTGGGAGAATCTGAATGTGAACAAGAGCCATTGGTATTTGAAATTCGTTTGCGTGAACGTGGTGCTCTTCATTGTACTTTTCTTCCTCACCACACCGGCGATGGTGGTCAATTTGCTGAACAGTCGTCCCTGGCTCAAGGATACGGAGACCAAGATATCACCACTTGTGTCCGAGTTCTTGCCCACATTGATGCTGTGGACGCTGTCGGCGCTGATGCCAGTCATTGTTTCTATATCGGACAAATGGATGGGTCATTACACCCGCTCCAAACAGAACTATTCGATAATGACCAAGTGCTTTGGCTATTTGCTGCTGATGATTCTTATATTGCCCTCATTGGGCTTAACCTCGGCGCAGGCACTCCTGGAATGGGGGCTAACTAACGAAACTGGACGTTGGGAGTGCATTTTCTTGCCGGATCGTGGCTCGTTCTATGTCAACTATATAATAACCGCTGCCTTTATTGGTACCTCATTGGAGCTGTTGCGTTTCCCCGAGCTAATCGTCTATATATGGGCACTCCTGAAGGCCACCTCAAAGGCGGAGACGCCATATATACGTAAGTCCATATTGATTGAGTTCCCATTTGGCACACACTACGCCTGGACCACACTCGTCTTTACCATATCCATCGTGTACAGCGTGTTCTGTCCATTGATAATGCCTTTTGCTATGATCTATATAAGCCTGAAGCATATGGTGGATCGCTATAATCTGTACTTTGCTTATGGACCATCCAATATGATATCACGCAAAGGTGGCAAAATACATTCCACGGCTGTCACCATGACCAAGTTCTCGGTCTTGATATTGGTTCTGGTTATGGCGATGATCTGCGTTTTCCGCGGCGATCGTGGCATGGCACGCTTTTTGATACTCATCATCACCTTGGCCATAACCGTGACGTTGTTCATCTTTATGTCGCCCATCAAACGCTGTGCGGCGACGCGACGTCCAAGTATTGTGGAAATCGCGGGCCCTGCACCCGCCTATATACCCGATGTACTAAAAACCCGCCCGGAAACCAGCGCCAGGCCCTCGGTAACGGGTTATGCAGGATATGGCTCGGACAATGTCTCCGATTACGACAGCTCCCAGTACAGTGTCAATAGCGTCGAGGCGTAAGAGCATGTATTTTTTAAATAATTTTTTGTAGCTAAAACGAGACTTGATAAGCAATCAAAGTGTTGAGACATTTACATATTTTTGTATTAAGATTTTAAAAGCCGCTGTAACTTTCAAATTGATGTTTAAAAAGGCTTTGTTTGCAAAATGAGATGGAAAATGTGATATCAATTAGCCTCGTGAATTGCGTCTGAGTTCAGTTGAATAACGTTTTCAAAAAACGTGCCCTGCTGCGCCCCTATAAATGTAATTTCTTTTTGTACATACACACATATATCTATATATATATATATATACATATATCAATAATCATAATTAACCTACTTTATATAATTATTTGTAATTGCAATTGTAAATATTACGTCTTTTTATGAATGTTGATTAGGAAGCATATATTTTGTAACTATAGCCACTTCAATTTGCAACTAATTAAAACAACTAATATATATATATATGTCTGTACTTTAGTAATAGCAGTGAAAGACCACAAAACAGTGCATTAAGTATGTGTACAAGTAATTTTTGTTTATTTATCGAAAAATCATAAATAAAAACGATTTAGATTATGCGTATCCGTTTTACATACAGATGCAGAATTACGTGTACTAGTTTATCATTTATTTAAGTATTCTATTAATATTAGCCTGCAAGTGTTTCTTATATTGTTTTTCGAAGGAGAATTACTACCATCATCATAAAATAAAATATTTAAAACCCCTATAAACAAAAGTAAAAAAACAAACTCTGTTCTCGGTAGTTACAATTTTTTTGTTTTTGAAATATTGCTGTAAATTTTTGGGCTCGACGATCTTCATGTATCTCCAAGGCGAAACACAATTGTATCAACAATTTTGCTGTTTGAAGCCGCATAGCTTTTGTAAATTAAACGCCTAATTTATTAGATGATACAGTAACTTACAAAGAAAACGAATTGCAGCAACTACACTAGCCACCACTTTCAACCTCGTGGGATCGTGTGTAAACAACTACAACTACAATATGTAATTGATATTTGCTCAATACGCTTGCCGCATGCAGATACCAAATGCATTTCGTTGGAGTTGTTTAGTATTTGATGGTATGTTGTGGATAAAAGAAATAAAAAAAGGGGGGAAAAACTACAATCGTTCTGTTTTTTGTGTTAGTTGGCCAAAATAAAAAGACTGAATTTCCGCGTACTTATGCCACATAGTTGTATTGATTTTGATTATCCTTGTCCCGCTCCATATAATCACGATCAATCAGTGACTCGATGCGCTTTTTCAGATCAGCAGGCTACAAGATAATATAAATATCTGTGAGAAAAAATAATCAAATAGTTGGCTTATAGTACGCACCTTAACGGGAAACGTTAGCTGGTTGAACAATTCGGTGATGAGCAAATTGTGGCTCAGTGTTTTACGCATTTTCATAATGCGAACGATGGCCGCATCAATCTGATACTGACGATCCTGAAAAACGCGCTCCTCCGTCGCCTTTTGCTCCTCATTCTATAACAAAATTGTGCATTTAGTGGTATATTAAGATTGTTGATTGTCATCTACTAACCGTTTCCTTCATTTGTATTTGATTGATTTTGATGCGGAACAATTTGTTGATGAACTCATTATTGAAATCAAACTGATCCCGATCCTCAATTTCGCGACCCTTGGGCGTTTTGGTAATGACACGCGCACGTCCACAGGCCAGCGATTGCAGTGTGCGTCGCAACTCACCATCCTCAATGCTGGTGGCAGCCAATATCTCCTCATAGCTCAGCGTTGGTTTATCATTAAACAACAGCAGCACCAACGCTTGAAACAGCGACACCATCAGCTCTTTGGGACCCTGAGCAAAGTGCGAAAGGGAGAAACATATGAAAATGTGGCTTTTTATAGTAATACAAATAGTTAACCTACCGCATCAAAGTGTGCACGCAACACGCAATTGCCCAGTGTTGGCTGCCATTGTAGTTTTCTCCCACTGTGCTTTTCCAGATAGAACTTGTTGAATATCTGCTGGGGATTGATAAATTGCGGCGGCATTGTGACCTCAGTGGGCGCGTACGTTGGCCAGTAGCCCATAGTTAGTATGCTGACGGTTAAGTCCAGATTGGTTACATCACGATCATTGCTAAGCGTATGACCGCGAAAAGCTAAATTGACATCACGACTCAATTCCATGTCCTTGAACATGCCCTCCAGCTTGGATGTAAAACCGCCGCCGCATTCCTGTTTCAATTTCGACAGCATACTCTTCTCAGAGTCCACTGAAGCAGATTTTCCGACCAGCAAGCGCTTGGCCAAATCCTGCAAAAATTACATCATTTTATTCAATGCATAATTATGAATATAATTATGAATATATTATTTAACCTTTTTGTAGAATGCTTCAAAGACGTCCTTGCCATGTATAAAACGAAACAGAACCATGATCTTATCCAAGGTCTTTTCCAGCTCCTCATCGGTGGTACCCTTGTTGCCTGAACGCAATTTCATATCCACATATTTTGCTATTGAATATAAATACATATTACAGCATCCTCTGTCTATTTATATACAACAAGACAATATACCAATGAGCTCCGCGGGCTTGTTTGCGCGCTGATTGATGAAGAATTCGAAGGCCTCGCGCAACGAATTCGTGAATTTCTCATTGTGTTCAAAGCAATTGCGCACAATTACATCCATTTTGTCTTTAAAGTCCAGCAGATCTTGTACCATACTTTTATCCTTCTCGGGATCAATGACAATAGTGCGTCCCTTTTTCTATAAGAACGTGCACAAGAATGTTAAATAAACGAATAGAACAAATGTTACGAGTGTCTCTTGCCTTGATGTAACCATTAAAATTGCCGCAAAGCTCGGATGTGCCGTTTTTGACACGACTAAGTAGGCCATACAAAAGGGTTAGATCGTTCAGTCTGTTGTCCTCTAGCAGGGAGTCAAGGCCCTTTTGCAGAATTGTTGTTAAGTGTTCGGCAAGCAGTTCCTTTTCCACATTGTATATTAAAGGATGTCTGCACAAGGATTATATCGATTAGTTTCCAAAAATATATATATATATAAGAATATTTAATATTGTTTACTTTGTGCTGGAGTCTAGATAGTGCAACAGACGCTCATTCTCCTCCGCCAGACGTTTGCTCACATGCTGTAAGTACTCGGGGACTTCCAACTCCTGCATTTTTCGTTGACTCTCAGCCTTGTACAGTTGGTTGGTCGCATCAAGGAACTTCTCCTCAAACGCACTGCTATATATCTGCAGATCACACAGCATACGCACCAAACTCTTGAGCAGTCCACGATCCACTGTGGAGCCCTGACGCTCCTTTTCAATCAGTGTCAACAGGCCGTCTACGGTGCGTTTCTGTACGAGACTGTTCTGGGCAAAGTGTATGCGAAAGAGGTCCAGCCCCATGTCCCATATAGAGTGTATGGACGAATTTTGTAGCACATAGGTGCGATCCATATATAGAAATATGCTACGTATCATTATCATTTGCTGGCAAAACGATAGCCACCAATTGTTGATTTTTTCCAGCAAGACCTGAAGAGAATTTTAATTAATATACAACCAACTCACACAAAGCTTCATATATTGAAATCGGAAAATAGGTGAAACTTGTTCGAAAGACAAATAATATACATATTTAATAATTATACGTATGTCAATGAAGTCGGAAAGATAACAAACGGGAGTACTAGGATACTCGGACGACAATTGAATTTTCTTCTAAAGGTTGGAAACTTGTTTATAGTAGAAATAATTTAAATTTGAGTCCAGGTTAAGCCGGATATTATATAGTATAGAATATTATAATATATTTATTAGTTCGGAGCACTTACTAGTTTGTCCATGCTGCCGCCAGTTAGTTCCTTAAGCTTGATGTTACGTTTGACGTGCTGCTCGGTTAGTTCCATTAGTTTGACATACAATTGTGCATCCATTTTATGACTGCACATATTTACAACGGCCTGGTAGAGTTCCTCCAGTGAATATTTGATGGGCTTGGATAGTTGTATGGCGATAACGGCCTCCTCCAGTTTCACATAAGTGTCCTCAGAATAGTTATCGGGCAGTGTGGGTTTAGCTAAAGCGTATGCAAATGTTATAAATGTTGTTATCGTTATCGCTGTCTGCTTACCCTTAAAGTTCTTAATAACTATCTTTTTGACATCACCCGGCTTGGTGTTGTGAATGGCGCCCATGCGGTTAAGCAGATTTGAGGTAGTTGATGCTGAACGTATATCGCTGCCATGATGCGGACCCAGTTTCGAAAAGTTTGGCAATCTTTCGCCGTTTGTGGACGCTGCTGAATTCATATTTTGGGCGGCGAAGGCGCTACGGCCAAGGTTCGTCGTCGTAATTGCGTTGCTGCTGCTGTCGCCCTTTTTTAGACAGGATGCAATGTTCTCGGTGTCGTGCAGTTCAGTCGTATCCATTGGCTTGTATTTCTTTGCAGCACTCATTGCTTGGAATGAGTGTGAGGTGTCCAATACGCTGGAGCTGGATGTGCTCACGGCGTTGGTGCTGCAATGAAAATTGCGGATGGTTACTGCTGACCCGAGTGTCTGGTGTCCAATTAGCTGTCGGCCTAAAGATTATACTGCACAGAATGTTTAATTATTTGTCAAGCTACAAAAATTTGCACTCGTATTGGCATAAATTTACCCCGTGCTAGTGCTAAACAAATCCGACGATATCGATATATAAAATGCCTTTCGCTAGTTTCGCACACTTCTCGCTGTCGCCATCGGCAAGAGCTGATAGCTTGGGTAAAAGGCACTTTCGTTGTTATCCAAGTGGCTTGTTGTGACCGGGCACTAAAACTGCAGCGGGCAAAGATAATGATACAATATACGCGTTAATTATTTATTTGCTCTGCACAGCTCAATTTATGCATCGGAGATTAATGACAGAAATCGATTAAATATCGAGCCACCACCACAATCTATGCAGCACTTGTCGATAGTTTCGATATATTTGCGACAAACGTGCAAACCTACGCCTGTATGACCACAACCATACGACCGTACTACAACCATGCTCGATCTGTATGATAAGTTCGATTCCGACCATTTACCCGGTAACCGTTTTATTCAAAGAACAGATTTGTTTTTTGGTAAAAACACAACCTTATATGTATGTATATTTAATAAGCGTTGAGTTTTTCTTTTATTTGTCTTAAATATAATATCAAATATGTTTTATAGTGTAATATTAAGGTTTTGTTTGCTAAATAAATACTGAAACGTGTGTACAAAATGTAAAGGGTGGTGTGTACATTAAAAAAAAATTGTATCTACAGTTTACATACATATAATGATGATGTGTATGGTATACAACAAAGTCAAACAAGTCCAGAACTCTTATGTTTTCTCCCTCGACAGCTCGCTTTGGAATAAGATATACATATATATGTGTGCTTAATCGGTAACAACTTCTAGGTACAGAGGGTTGAAATATTTACTTATATTTTTAGAGCATTATATGTATTATATTTTTTTCTTTTTTTTTTTTAATATGTAATAGCATTTGGGCTTTAGTTTTAAGTTTGCAATTGAGTTAAGCTTTAATCTGAGTAAACTTTTTATTAACGTTGTTTTATAAACTTTCATTTAAATCCATCAACAGTATTACATAATTTGCATATGAGTTCATGTAATTTAAGAAGCCTGACCAGGTCGGCTGTTTTATTTTTAGTACATATGTATATGTATATGGCAGCGTATTGTTAAGCATATTAATACATAATTTCATCATTTTTCGATTTCCATTTTAAACGCGAATGGAGTTTAACTTTTGAGGACAGCGTGATGTTCTGGCTAGCAAGTAAGGTAAGTTAATTATATGATGATGATTGGTTAGCTGAAAATTTAGCCTATAACACATTTGCAGGACATATTCGGTTTGTAAAAGCAATTCAAAGCGGCGCCTACTTATAGTATATGCTTTAAAAGGGGTATCAATATCAATTAAATATACACAGTACATAATTTGCAAGTGTTTACATATAAGTGTAGTATACTTTTAATAGGTTTGCGTTTAAAAATAATGATTTGTAAATTATTTGATTTACGTTTATAGCTTGAGACACAAAGTTGTGTGTGTTTACAACAGAGTAAACAAAAAATAAATACATACAATTGTAGTTGTTGTGTTAAAAAAACTGTAATAAATAATATCTGGTTTTTGTATAATACACACTCACACTCGTACACATGCGCGCACACAAGCAAACTTTCAGCCTCACACACAAATACTCAGACAAACAGGTCTGCCATTTAGTCTGGCAGCATATGTACAAAACTAACGGGAAACATGCCACGCCTCGCCGGATGACCTTCAATGATGCCCTCCATCCAATTCTCATCATCGGTGCGCTCATTGAGCACGATCAATATTTCACCCTGCTTGAATTCCAGCTCATCATCGTTGTCCGCAACGCAATCGTACAGAGCTTCACAGCGACGCTGTCCATTCTAAAAGATTAAATGTAATTAAAGGAACTTCTTGTATTGGTCACGATGCTTACATAGTGTAATTTGCCCACGGAGCCGACGCCACTTGCATTTTTCACCTGATTATCGGGAGAAGAGTTGAGCCTATCATTATCGCTAGACGATATATTCGATTCGGCAGAATGATCCAGACCGCCGCCAGAGGAGTCCATATCCGTATGCCAGGACTCGTAATCGGTGAAATTGGCGGATTGATTGATGAGCTAAGAAACATAGGCATTAGTTAGTTAAATCCGTACAATATATGTGTATTATGTTTGAGTTAGTGGAACATATATTAAGAAAACACAGAACACACAAAATTGTTGGAGTTTGAGTTTTAGAGAGTATGCGCGCATGGAGTTAGAAGAGCTCTAGAGAAAATGCACACGGCACATTTAGTAAAAAACAAAAGAAATAAAATATATATAAATATATATAGTAAGTGAACAGGAAGAACAAAACAACAACAAGAACGGCAAAATCTGTTTGTTTGGTTTGATTTGATTTGATTTGGATTGTCGCTGCCATTTACCGTTTCCTCGCTGGAATGCTCTAATCTCAATAAGTTTTGTTGTTTGCGCTGAAATTTGTTGGAATTACGGGAGAAATACACAGGATACATTGAAAACGAAAGTTCTCATCAACTACGCGCGCTCGTTCCTTGGATTCAAACTGAACCTGAAGGATGCAAAGAACTTACCTTGCGTGGCGGCGCAATGGGGCCCTCATCCATGGAGCTGATGCTTTCGTTGGACTGACCATTTGGTATATCGCGCTCTGTTGTGTGTTAAATAAAAATATATATAATTAAATTTGTATTAATTAAGCTCAATTCACTTGCCTGCAGGCGGACCGGGCGGCGGTATTTTGGGTCTCATCAGCGCCGATTTGTCCACATGCTTCAGCGTAGGCAACTCTCCGGTAGGCGGCAGCACAAGCTTGGCACCCGCCAGATGAATATTACGATTCAGCGACTCGCCGCTTGGTGAACGTTTATGCCCAAAGGTAGTCATGGGCATGAGGCTGCTATTACTGCCATTGCCACCAACACTGCCACTGCCTCCGCCACCGCCTCCGCCACCGCCACCACCCGCTCCACTGCCTCCGCCTGTTATCCTCGGCGAGTTCTCTACGCTACGCATGTGCGGCAGCGTGCCATATGCTACGTCCATTGACTGATTCTTGTGATTGATGGAGCGTATATCGTTGGCATCCATGTTCTGCGAATGCCTGGGCGGATGCGGCAGTGTGCCATAGAATATACTTGTCGGAGCGCCAGTCAATGTGCCGGGCGGCGGTGCTGGGGCTGCGCGCTTCTTTAGCGAGTTCATGTTCGCTGTGGACGTAGATTTGCGCGCACCCGTCACATGTGCCAGTTCACTTTGCATGTTTAAGCTGTTGCGAGTTCCGCGCATGTTTTGACTACAAGCGGAGCTGGGACTAGAGCCACCTCCACCGTTGCCGCTGTTGCTGCTGCTGCTGCCAACACCCAAATTGTTGCCACTGCCCAAATATTGGCCAACATTCGTATGCTGCTTGGGCGAGGTGCCTGCGGATTGCGTATAGCTGGGCAGCGTAAATTGGCGGCTCGGACAATTGGCAATTGGACTAGAACTGGACTGTATGGAATCGCAAGTGGAGGAGCGTGAGCGCATCACTGGCGAGTCGCCACCAGCAAAGCTGGGTGGACGTGAGCGAGACTTCTGTAAAAGTTGAATGTTTTATATGCAAATAATATATGATGAGTAAATAATATTAATTAATTGTGAGTTTACGGATCAATTAGACTAAAAGGAAGGTAGACTTTGACGGACATGCCTAAATCAATTCAGTTCCTCGTTCTATCTGTGAACAAGGTACTACAAATATTTGAACTTACGCGCTCATCGATGACAGTTTCGTCATCGCTGAAATCAGTGGATCCATCCTCGTTGGGCAGATTCCAATCGGTATTGATGTGATCGAAAGCGCTTTTCTCCCGTTTTATGGCACATTCAATCTGTGGAGAAAAAAAGACACAGTATGAACGCAAGCCAAATAATTATAATAGATATCTGCTTACCAGCTCCTTGCAGCTGTTGTGACCCATTTCTTTGGCAATGTCCAGCGCTGTTTTGTTCTGTGAGTTTCTGAGCTCATAGTCAGCGCCGGAGCGCAAAAGCAGTTTCATGCACTCGCGACGATCGTGCAGGGCGCATAGATGCAGCGGCGTATTTTTGCCGGTCACATCTAGCAGACCGGGCGGATTGGTGGCCTTGTTCAAGCCCTTGAGCGGCATATTCTGTATGAGAAAATCAACGATGTGCAGCGTTGAGCCGCCCTCGCGCAGCACAGCCAAGTGAAGGGCTGTTTCGCCCGCATCGGAGCTGGGCAAACAGCAGGTGAGATCGGCGCCCTCGGCCCAAACCTGGAGCAGTTGACTCATATCAGCATTGACAATCGCCTGCTCCAGATCGCAGCGCAGGTCATTGTCATCGGCACAGGTGCGCATAACATAACGCTTGGCCACATATTTGGCGCGAATGAAATCGTATCGCTCCTCCCTGCAAAAAATAAATGGATAATCATAAAAATAAATTATCAAAAGATCGTTCAACTTACATGCTGCTCTCATGGTTGAGTTTGCCCCGGCCCAACTTGGCCTCCATAATGTCATTCAATGTGCTGTTGCCCATGGCGCGCGCTATCAACAGATTCGCCGTAGTCAGATTGTCCAGCGTCAGGCTCTGTATGCGCGAATGATGCACGCCCAGATCGCGATGCACACCCGAGCACTGAATGCAGACGAGTATGCCAAAGTTCAAGCTAATCCAGGTGACATCGTTGCGTGAGCCACAATCGCAGCATCTATCGTTGCCCGGCAACAGTTGCACATAGCGAATCACTGTCTTTTGCAGCTCCACCAGGCTGGGGCTCATCTGGGGATTGGCATGCTGAAAGGCCTTGGTCAGAGCCTTCTCCTTGCAGTTGACCAGCACAGCCATCCAGGCCTTCTGATCCGTTTCGTCTTCCGCTTGAAAATGATACGGTCGATTGTCTAAAACAGGCAACAGGCGCGTTAAAAGCTAACTAATTGTGGTTGTGGTTTGAATCACTTACAGCTGATTAAATCGAAGCCGCGCTTGTCATCTGGCACCGGCTTGATCTGGCAAGTGAGCAGATTGACGCGCGTCGGCGGCTTCGATTCGTCCGCATGGAAAATATCCAAGAAGCCATCGCTGGTGACACGACAACGACGCTTTTGCCACACACGTCGCACCTTGCCCTCGCTCTTCTTGAGCAGATGACCCTGACGTGTCACCCCGTGATGTTTGTCGCCCTGCAGCTGATGCAGCGAGTAGCCGGCACCCGCACCACCGCCGCTTCGATTCTCCGAGGCCGGCACATTATCGACACGCTCAAAATCCGGTGTGCTGCGCAACAACGTTCGCAAATCCAATAGGCTGCGCCTGTCCTCGTCCTGCTTCAGTTTGATCACATGCAGCTTGTCGCTCAGATCGCCGATGTACGTGCCAAAGTGTTCGATCGTTTGCAAGCCATCTTTAAAGTAACTGCAATGCCAATGACTCGAGTTATATAAAGGTGTACACAATAAACAGTAAACAAACGCAAATGGCCACTAGACCCAATTAGCATGCAGCTCAGGCTCAGCTTGTTGCTGCCTGCTTAGCTTGGCCTGGCCCAAAACAAAAACTCACTTATTCAGCGCGTGATAATACTCGATGAAGTGCTGCAGCAGCTCAATGCCAGTTTTTGTTTTGATCTCTTTGTACTTGAGCAGATACTCGCAGGTCTGCAGCTGATAGAGGCGACGCTCCTTTTCCATTTCATCGGCAACCACAGCAGCATCAATCTCTGTGCGCACCATGCCCGCCTCCTTGGCCTGCGCCTTTTTCTCTTTCTCGATTTTGATAAACTTGGCTTCGTAGTCTTTGGCCGCCTTATCGAAGGGGCGTTTCATGTCGCCCTTAACGCCACGCAGCTCGCTCTTTAGCATCGAATCCACCGGAAACATCACAATGTTGTTGATGTTTTGCATCTGGCGTTGAAAGTGGGACAACAAGATAAGTTCAGGGTTAGTCAAAGTATCACTTTACTTATTTGATATCAAAGACCCTTTTTTCTATAGCATTTATATCTGCTTTGCGAAAAATAAAATCGTGGCGTTGCCACCTTGTTATGATATTATTTTTATCAAGTTAGTTAAACTATCATGAACTTTGCCATGAACTTGAAGAGAGAGGTCGATAACTATGAATATTTCCCTTAATTTCACACTATCTATATATATATAAATATTATTAATCAGAAGTTGAGAAATCTGAAATAAACTAAATTTATATTTATTTATGTTTTTTTCCCTTGTTTATCGTTTTATGTGCATTAAATTCTAGATTGTGCATTCTAAAACTAATGCACTTCACAATTTATCAGCTAGGTAAACCATTATCAAAGCAAACTTCAAAGTTTTATATGAAACAGATTTCTAATTTATCGTTATTTCTCTAGCTTATGTTTCAATGTTTCTACCACTTACCAGTGTTTTCATCAGCGCACTTAGCTCTTTGGTGACCACAGAGAACTTGAGAAACGCAGCGCCAATGTCGGGCTCATCCTGATCAATGACCTTGCCGCCCAGACGCTCCAGCGCGCGCACCATGAACATTTCATTGTCGACATGAGCTAGATATATGTAAAAAGAGTTGTATTTAAATGAGTATAAATTAATAGTTAATTGCACTTACTATTGCCCGAGTTGTGTATGGCTTTGACGGCCTTCTTTAGCTTGGTGAGGCCCTCGCGATCGAACTCCAGACGCTGTAAAGACAAAAAAATATACACATGATTGATATTCAGATTGATAATCTTATCTGGCCTCTTATATAAGTAACATGAACAAGATAATTTCCCGAAAATTTGTCTTGTTCAATTTCAAGCATCAATTAATACGATGCATTTCTAAGAGGGTTCTACTTTTAACCCCTTAACACAAACTCATGCATCTCCATGACTTGTTTAACCTCTTGACTTTTCAATTAATATTAATTCATTTCATTGAATTAGAGACGCTCGCAATCAGAGTCTGTTCTACGAAATTGAAATAAGTTTAACAAATTTTAAACCCAAGAAAACGCTTATTATTAAATGCTGCTCAATTGAGCAATTGCGGATAAGAAACCCAAGTTCATTTATAGAGTTGCTTTAAATAATAAATTAATAATAATAGATATTTTGCAATATAATCAATGTTTGTCATGCTTTAAATGTCTATCAATATCAAAAGCAATAATAATAATAATAAAAAGAAAACAAATACATGAAAAATTAAAAACAATTAAGACTAGTTTTGTGTACCACAATGTTGTAGAATGTATAATATTTTTTTTATATTCAATAATAAAAGAAGGATTTTAGTTTTCATTTAAGCGTCTTGGTAACATTATCAACATTATTTGAGGCGGGCAACGCCGGTTAATTTTTATTTGTTTATATATAGAGATAAAGTTGCGTTCAGCAAATTGAAAAAGTACAAATATTAAACAATCGAAGAATCAATGATTAGATAAATGCTTCAGATAGCATATTTATTGCAAATACATTAATTTGGAAACTCAGAAAACAGCAAAACAATTGACGATTGTAATTTTATAGTTAAGGAATTCGACGTATAACAGCTAAAATAGTGAGTTGGCTGCGATAAGCGGACTGCGAAGATGTTTAAAGCGTGCTAATAAAGATTAGTCATGTTCATAAACATTTGCAGCTAAGTTTATGGCAAATATTTGGAACGCAAATTGCTTAGAACAATAACAAATTAAGTTGGTCAACCCGACAACTGGTTTCCGTTTCTCTTTCTAGCGACCAAGTGGCACTTTTTTTTTCTATTCTCATTTTTTTTTTTATTCTTCTGTTATTCCGTTGTGTCTTGATAACAAAAGACGAAGTTCGTTAAAAAAAAAAAACGGACAGACGCCTGGTCAAGTTACTTTTTAGCCGAAACCGCATTATATTTATGTTATTATTATTATACAAATACGTATTGTGAATAAGCTGCGCTGTAAATAATACTCTTATTGTATGCGAGGATTTAATACTTATTCCATATAGACCAATCATAAAGGTGTGTATATGTATTACAGCAAAATTCTATTCTGGGCTGTGCCAAAAAAAAAAAACACACACAAAAAGGTGTGTCTCTCGGGTTTATTTATTGATTTGCCAGTTTTTTGGGGTCGAACTGTGAAACCCATCAGTGTAATTAAATATTAAACATTCAATTCGCTGTCAAACATTCGTCAGGAACAAACAAAATCAGGGCGCGCTCTCCGGTGACGTGTCTTGAAACATATTAAGGCTAATTCAGTGCACATTGGTACCAAATCTGTAAAGCAATGACATTTGGCTCATTGTATGAAAAGCTTTCGAGGTTTTTTTTTGATGCTGTAAAGCCAACAAAAATGGTATTCATTAAAGGCAATCTTTCCAGGTTAATGTTGTGCAAACGCGAATTACGTTTAATTGTATTCATTTACTACAATTGCGGCAGCTTAAAGCTTTAGACTAGCTAAATGGACCATTTTACACAGCTTTTAATGTTGTCACGTTTTTATTAGAATCCAACATTAAGCTTTTGAGCTGAAATTAAAATGAAGCACATCTATGTTTGTGCCACGGTGCGTCTGCTGACTGCAATGGCTAATTTTAGCTAAAGAATTGGAGCGCAGAGATTTCGAAGAGAAATGTTTTAGGGAACAGCTAAAGCATACTTGATTTTTATGCGTAATCAAATGTGGGCGCGCCTACATTGTGGCTACGCGTTTGATAAGCTTCGATCGCGGGAATGCAACAGCTTTAAGCTAAATATGCGACACATATGCCGACGTCTGCTTTATCATACGCCTTTCCGCCCGCACTTGCCCTTATCACAGCAAACGCATAACAATGTGTATGTGTGTGTGTGTTTTTTTTATGGGGAGTAACAGCAGCTGCAATGACTAAAAATAAAGTATTGCGTTCTCGAGTGGCTACGCCAAAAGCGGCAAGTGGGAGGGTTGGAATTCAACGGGCCAGCTGCATTGATTTGAGAATGTGCACTTTCATTATTTATGACTTTTAATGTAGGGAGAAGACAAAACCACCTGCAATTGCCGCAGCCGACGACGTCATCGTAGAACAAATGCAAATTGTATGGCAGTCCCGCAAATGGAGCGAAAGAGGGGTGGGGGCAGGGTGTGGGGACTCACTTGGCGCAGCGCCAATTTAATGCAATACCTTTTTGTTTTAATTTTTGCTTTCCATGGGCCCCACTGTGAAAGTACATAATAAACCAATTTTTTTTTGTTGTTGTGGGGGAGAGTATATAAGACAGCACAGTATATGCAGTAAATGTGTGTGCATGCAATTTATAGCGCTGGATCATTGATTAGCTACCTTGAACTTATGTGAGCGGGTGAGCAAGAGAGAGAGTGTGAGAGTTAATGCTTACCTCTTCCAATATGCTAATCGTTTGACGGCAATCCGGCATGCGGGACGCAAAGGTGGAGGTGGTGGGCGAATTGTAATCATCGCGCGTCTCCTCCACAAACTCGGAGATGCCAATTAATGCTGGCGGCATTTTTATATTGTTGTTGCTTTAATTGCTTCTGGGCACACTTTTTGTATCTTTCTGTTTTTTTTTTGTTTTCGCACACTTGAAAACAGCACAACGGGCGCAGGCGAACTTCAAGGACACCCAGGCAACAACACCAAAAAAAAAAACGAGAAATGACGACTGCAAGGCAAAGCAGAAATACGACGCGGACACGAATGTGTTTTGTGTGCCGTTTTTGAGTTGTAGCAGCAGACGGCACAGCTGCTGCTGCTGCGGGCAACAATAAAGGATCACACGACGAGGCAACAGGAATAAACAGGATAACAACGACAACGTTTACGATGCCTTCGCTTCGTGTTTAGTGTGCGTCCCCGCGAGTATGTGATTGTTTGTGCGTGAGCTTGTACGTTTGTATTGGTATTGGTGTAGGCACGTACGTCTGTATGAGAGCACCTATACTCTCTTCCTTCTGCATCAATTTTCACGTTACTCCTTTTGATTTTGTACACTTTCACACACGCTGCCGTTGCACATTTGATTTACGCACACATTTTTTGTTGTTTGCCGTACAATTTTTTAGGCGCGCCACCTGATCGCCTCATCTTGCAGCAAAATTCGAGTCGCAGTCGCAGTCGAAGCGCAATTAATGTTACAGTAGTAGAGAAATGCGCCGCGCATATTTACACACAACAACTGTTTGTCACATTGCTAACACTCATCAATTATTGGTAACAATTGGGCATAGTTTCTGGCGATTTTTAAATTTGGTTACGACGAGCCCAGGCCGGAGTAAAATTAAATATTATTAATATTGCAATTTTTGCTGCTCTGCTGGCGTCGTCGTCGTCGCGTACAATGTAGCAGTGTTGTCCATACTTTATGTTCAGGAAAGTACTAAATATGCCTAAAATATAAAAATCGTACAGCCAGCACAGTGGCTATGAGTTTGAGGGCTGGATACTCAAAAAGTTGTTGAACAACGCTGGTTCGCAAATGGATAGATCCCAAAGAAGTGTTTATATAAGGCATTTTAAAACAATACCTCTGAAATAATACATTTTGAAGCTTTTTTTATACATTTTTTGCTTATTCACATAAATAACGCCTCAATAGTTTGTTACACAACCAGTAACTAATAAATAAATAAAATTTAGACTCAAATTGCAAGAACGAATCGCGGCATACCTGCCCTGAACTGGCTAAATAGAACTGGAACAAAATAGTTCAATTACTCAGTTCCGTAAACTCGTTTGTGTTCACTCAGTTCTGAACAAACGAGCACTGCAATATATTTCCTTTTTGCTTCTGAAACATACATATATATTTTTGACTTTAATTATAACAAATGGCTGGTAAACGGCAAGCTACATCAAATCTGAACCACGATAACTGGGATCAAGAGGATGAGCCAGAGGAGCGCGGCACATTCCGAACGGCGCCGCCGGAAGAACTAAAAGCACGCGTTATCAAGAAGGCAACAAGGCGCAAGGCGACTATCGGCGCAGCAGACGCCGACGATGCCGGCGACAGTCCCGGCAGAAGTGTATTTAGCGGGTTTTCAGGTGCGTTCAAGTTATTCAAAGTGGGTTTGTTTCATTGATAACACTTGTTTGCATTTAGGTTTTGGCAAGCCTGCAGCAGCCGCAGCCGCCGGCACTCCGTTTGCATTCCTGTCTAACTTGCCGGCTGCGGCTGCTACTGCAAAGTTCGCTGAGAGCTCCCCAAAGCCAAGCACGAGCATCAGCACCGCCAAGGATGATGTAGCAATAACACCACCACCAGCCAAACGATTAACAGTTGAAGCAAATATAAAGAATGATTTAACAAGCAACTCCCTGTCCAGCACCAGCACAACTCGACCAGTCGCAACTACTTCCATATTTGGCAATACATCAGCTAACGATGCAGCAACAACGTTTCCCAAAACACCCGTCTCGATGTTCAAGTCAGCGGTGCCCGCGGAGAAGACAACAGCGGGCAATGCAATCACCGCTTCATTGGAATATCGCGATAATGTGGCTGAATTGAACATGGCCGTGATGAAATTCCTGCAAGAGCATATGGACAAGAATCCATATTGTTTACTGAGCCCAGTATTCGACAGCTACGACAAGTACGCAAAGGAGTTGCGGCAGAAGGATGAAGCCAAAAGTAATGCCACGTCAAGCCTGACCAAGACTCCTTCTCCAACAACGAAAGCTGAAACAACAACCGCAATCACAACAACAGCAGTTGTAGCACCAACAACAACAGCAGTAACACCAAAACTGCCAACAATAACGCCAGCAGCAGCGACAGTTACAACGGCCGCACCTGCTACTGGCTTCTTCTTTGGCAAACCCACCACAACGACTGCCACCGAAACCACTTCACCGTCCTTGTCCTTTGGCAAAAAGCCAAATTGCACAATTACCAGTGGCGGCAGCACAACCACGGTCACGGCGCCGCTATTTTCCTTTGGCAATATACAAAAGCCAAGCACCACACCAACCAAGTCTGAGGCAACGTCCAGCACAGCTTCGCCGGCCAGCATTTTCAGTTTTGGGATCAAACCGGCAACGGCTGCGAGCAACAAAGCGGATTCACCCAAGCAGGGCTTCTTCTTTGGCGGCCAAGAAGCAGCTGCGGCTGCTCCGGCCACCTCGCCGCCAAAAACAAACGGTTTCAGTTTCGGCTTGAAGTCAGATGATAAGCCGTCCACGTCGGTCTTTACCGGTTTCGGCAAGCCTGCCGGCGAGACAAAATTGCCAGCTCCCAGCTCTGGATTCTCCTTTACAAGTGGCGCAACGCCGTTTTCCTTCGGCAATGTGAAGCCGCCGACAGCCAGCGAAAGTGCTGAAACCAATGCAGATAACGAAGACGAGGATAGGCCGCCCGTGGTTGAATTCAACAAGGTAAAGTTCGACACTTTCAGGTAGTTTACGAGCTAGCTTAACGAGTATTAATCCCTTTTTATAACACCATTCAGGTCGTTGAGGACGATGCCATATTCTCGAAACGCTGCAAGGTGTTTGTGAAAAAGGACAAGGATTTTGTTGATCGCGGCGTGGGCACATTGTATTTGAAGCCCGTCAAGGATACGAAGAAAACACAGATGCTGGTGCGTGCCGATACCAATCTGGGCAATATATTGGTCAATCTGATACTAACCGATGGTCTGCCATGCCAGCGCATGGGCAAAAACAATGTCATGATGGTATGCATACCCACGCCAGAAGAGCCCAAGGCATTGTCCATGCTGCTGCGCGTAAAGACCGGCGAAGAGGCCGACGAGCTATTGGAGCAAATTAAAAAGCATACAGTCTGAAACATTCACTAGATGAGGATATTTGAACTCGTACACATTTATGTTATTTGATCGTTTACATAAACAAATTATGAAAATACAAACGCATGAAAATGTAAGGAAAAACAATAAACCCCTGTTAATCCACAGAGGCCACAACGACCTTAGCATCGATTAGCTCTCTGAAGTTAACAGTTAAAGCGCGCGCCGCGGCATCCGAGTCATCCAAGCAGCTGGAATATTGGTGCAGTATGTGACGAATACCGTTTGGACATGCTGTAATTAATTAAATTAAAAAAGGCTGTCTTTAGGCCTTTTAGCAATTACATACCGATGATGGCAATGGTCATAGTTCTCGTGCGACGATTGATATAGTTACAGGTGCCAGCTATGTAGTTGGTGTTCGCAGCAGGCTGTTGTGCGTTTTTTGATTTGGCCAGCTTAAATATGACAGTTTCCCCCACATTCGGTAGATTCGTTAGGGGCGCCGCATTCTTCAACATGTCCGCAATAATATCCAATGTCTCATCCTTTTTCACAGGCACTGGCTGTACATCCGAGTCTGAGTCATCTATATTTGTATCATCCAGCACCATAACATCGTCCTCCGAGTCCGAGTCTAATAAGCTCTGCGTTGGCTCCTCGGCAATCGAGTTATCCTGCAGCTCTGGGCCATCTTGCTCTTCCTGAGAGCGTTCTGGACTAAGCTGGGGCGGCGTAGCTGGCTTTGTTTCCTCTTGTTCCACTTCTTCTTGTTCTACTTCACCTCCCTCTACAACTTCGGCTGATATGACTGCCTCCAACGGTTCTAACTCCAATTGTACATTTTCCTTTGGTGCGGCCAGCGCCATGCTTAACTTTGTTGCAGGGATTACAATTTCTTCTATGATTTTAATGGGTTCTGACTTGCGTGGTAGCTTTAAGACGCGCCCCGAATTACAGTCCAGCTCCATCAGCAGGCTACGAAATTCAACTTCCTGCACCACTGGCTCAACCCGACAGCTCGTCTCCACAGCCGTGATAACTTCTGGCTCGTTTTCCTCCTCTTCATTATTGTTGTATATTATGTGATTATTAGAGTTATTTTGCTTCTTAATGCTACTGAGATTCTTTGGTTGGTTTGGCGTGCTGGGCGCAGTACCTGTGACTGCCGATTTATTATGCTCTATACAGCTGATCTCCGGCGCTTTTGGTTCCTCTTCAAATGATTCAATCACGCGCTTAGACTTATTTCCTTTAACACTTTTCTCACTGTTCCCATTTGTCGCATTTATATTCACTGCGGGATCTGCAAATGTTGTTTCATTTTTTGTAACATTTTTGCACTTTGATCGCTTGGGTAGATTTGGTGTGGAGCTTATTAATTCTATTTCCGATTCAGCCGATCGATTTTTCCGCTTTTTGGTAGTTTCGGCAAAACACGAGGGGTCCTCTACCCCATCCCTAGAACTTTTGCTGGCCACATCGAGCTGAAAGGCTTTTAGCGACTGCGCTGATTTGATTACTTTGATGGACTCCTTTGGTGGCACATAGCATCCATCGTTGGTCAACAGGCTTATGTCCTTCTATAAGAAATTAATTGAGATAAATATTGATTCCAATAGCCTGCAACTGACACTGAACATACCAGGTAGAACAGCTTCTGGATGTGATCTTGTAATTCCTTGACATTCTCCCATGTTACATCAACCAACACCAAAGAGCAGCTGCGTGCATCACTGAAGTAGTTGGATAGATCCACTTTTATAGGAAAATTGTGCATTCTAAAATTGTTGTACACAGGTTTAAAAGCGCATACAAACGGGCGTGTGTACACACTGGGCTATCGGTGGCATATCGATAATAAATATTTATCGAGTAACGATTTCTTCAATATACCTTTAGCAAATACATATTCTTAAAAAATGGCACAAATACATACCTTTTATGCTCGTTACTCACTTGTTTCAATAGTAAGTCCCCAAATCACTTCCAACACATCCCTTCACAATCGCAATTAATGAAACATCAAATTCAGAAGGATTTACTTGAATTGGTGAGAAGCGCGTAGAACGGCGTTATCGAGCGATTAATAGAGTCAAGATGAATGAGACTAGGAGACCTAATTATTTATTTTATATTACTACACTTATAAATGTTTGTTTGTTTAAGAACAATGTACAGGGTACCAACTAGTTGAGTACACGCGAATCGTGCATTTGTACTTGCTAAAAGTATCGATATATTTAACATCCCTCGCAGCGAGCCCTATCTACTTCTTGTATACTACTCCAACGAAAACGAAAACAAATAGTTTCTTATCACATTGAATTTAAGTTTAGTCATCCGAATATCTACCACGGCTAATTATGTGATATATACACAAAAATAACAACCCAAAGACTCGCGCGCGAAAACTGATAATATGAGTAACGGCGAGAATAGGACAAAATCACGAAGCCAAAACCAAGGCCAAGGTGCTGCTGATGGCAATGCGAGTGGGAGTTCAGCAGCGCCCACGGCGATCGGGTCCACAGAACGGAATCGACCCAGCAATGCAGCCAGCCAGGGAATGCTAGCTGCCGGCAGCTCGGAACAGAGTATGTACATTTTTTTTGATACCACTCAACTGGAAAATTGGTCCAAATCTTAGCTAAACAGCGGGCTCTTTGCACACGCTCATTGCCCAAATGCCCTTTGCTAATTCCGTGCCTTAACCCCTTATTCAGGCACTGCAACAACATCTGCGTCGAAGGAGAAGCGCAGCTGGTTCCATTCGCTGACCAGACGCAAGAAGTCGGATTCAGCGCTGGCCAGCTCGAGTTCAACAGTTGCCGTCGGCACGCATTCGGTGCAGCTACAAAACAACAACAATGAGCCGATTGCCGGGGCCATAGAGGCTAGCTCCAGCACAGCTGCATCCGTTAGCAACAGCAGCAGCCTCGGCGGAGCTCTGCGCAAGCGTAAGGACAAGAAGAATATGTTCTCGCGTATACGCAAGAAGATGGGGCTGGGCCTGAGCGCCCTGCGCAACTGGCACTCCATGGGCGATGATTGCGATTGCGATGGCGGCACCACAGATGCAATGTACGAGTTTCTGGCGCCGCCCATACGCGTGGAGCCCTCGTTACCATTCACGCATGATTATAAGCGATTCATACGAAAAAAGTGGATGGAGCGACAGGATACGCCAAACGAGGTCATGTACAAGGCCTGCTTGGAAATGCTCAAGTATGTATAAACGTGTTCCAACTATGAGTCATTTACCTGATGACGAATTGTCTTTCTTTCTTTATGTCTTTCAATATTTCCTTGTTGTTGCAGTCAAGTTTGGTACTGGGGCGAGATTTCGCGTCGCGATTCCCAGCGCCAGCTGAGCGATAAGCCCACCGGCTCGTTTTTGGTACGAGATTCGGAAACGAGCGGCTCTCAATTTACGCTCAGCTTTCGCATTGTGAACGTCACGTTGCATTATCGTCTGGAGTATCGAGATGAGTTTTGGCACTTTGAGGAATTGAAATACGAGTCGATTGTTGATATGATTAAGGACATTCTGCATCGCTGCACAAATGATAATTTCGTGTGCTTTGTTAAGGTGCCGAACGAAATGCAGCCACCCTTTCCAGTGATACTCAAGTATCCATTAAGTCGTTACTTAAACATGCCCAAACTGCAGGATCTGTGTCGGCGTGTGCTGCAGAGTCAAATGACCGTTGCTGAGCTGGCCCAGCTGCCAGTGCCAGCCCAAATGCTGGAATATCTATCCGTTGAGCGTGAATTGGTATTTCAAAGCTAGGCGCATGGCCGGTGCCTGGTATTAGCTTTAAATCCTAGTGAAGAGCACAGTCTAAGAAACCAAAGAGGTTAAGAGGCAGCTACACAGTTAACGGCACTGCCAGAAGTTAAATATATATATATATATATACTATAGATTGAATTGGAATTGCTCGATCCGGATCTTAATCTTGAGAGCAAACATAAACACAAACACACACACACTTACAGGCCATAGTAAAAGCGACGAGTGTTTCAATGCATTTTTACACTCTCACGCACACACACACACACACACACAGAATTAAACACGCACAAACGAAAAATTGATACTATATAGTATATACATATATATGTGCATATTTATATATATGCATGTTTTTAATCTATAACTGTAATAAGTATATTTGTATTCATATATATACATATAGAATACACATATGTTATTGGCCAAAATTAGTCTATTATCTCGTTTTCCATTGGTCTTGGTCAAAGTCTGTACACCTAATTGATATTAATACTAATTTGTATTACATATACAATATGTATGTGAAGCTCCCTAAAAACAAAGTATTTGTATACATCAACGTAAACTCAAGATATTTGTGTTATATATATATATGTATATATATATACATTTACGTGCATTTGATTCCTAATGTCAAACTAACTTTTGCTATTATACTAAATATACGTATATAGATCACTTAAACTGGGCAGCAAATGTTTAACTATTGTTACAACGTGTATTGACATTTATTTAACACAAACAGTATGTATAATTTATGTTTGAATATATTTTATCAAAATAAAATTAAATTAAACTATATTATGTATGTGCCTATAATTAATTGAGCTCATCCAAATCCAAACTATCCTCGCTGCTACTATTTACGTCCAGTACTTCCTGCGGCTGGCATTCTGACTCCTCATCGGGACGCTCCATGTGCGCGTATATGCGATAGGCCTTAAACTGACCCACTTTTTGCCCATTAACGTAGTTGAAGCTATAGTAACAAGTGCGACATAGATATGAAGGATCATGCAATTGCCTACGAGACTGCTCCACAATGAAATGATAGCCACGCAGGCCGCACATGTAGCAGGCACGTCTATTGAAAGTGTTGAAGGAGCGCAAAAAGGGATATAGACTGCGATCGAGATATTTGCTGTGAGGTCTTAATACTTCCACCTGGGAGAAGACAAACAAGTGCTCGCAGTTGCCATGATGTAGATATTGCATTGGTGCACCCAGGCTAACAGTAAGATCTATGAAACGTGTTGCCTCCATGGAAGCCACCTTAAACTCTTCATCCTGTACGCCCTGTGCGGTGCACGCCCAATTGAGCACCGTTTGGGAGTAGTCACAATTGTTGGGATTGCGTGTATCATTGTAGAATGTTCCATTTATAAAGAAGTAGCCGGGATTTGTCTCCAGCACAGGCAGAGGAGCTTCGGGTTCCTTGCTAATATCTACGAATCGCTTGCCATTACATATGCAGGAGATTTTGTCGCGCAGCTCGCTCAGATAATTGTTTCCCAGACAGATGAACTCTTCGGCAAAAACAGGTCGCTCCAGCTTAAAGCCACGATGTGCAGCACGCGGTGGCCTATAAAAACGCACTGTTAGCTCCAGCTCAAATTGCTCAAGCGTCCACAACATGGACAAATCGCCATTGCCAGATGATTCGGCAATCAGACGGTGACTATATTGTGTGCGCGTAAAGGGATTCCGTCGAGATTTGGCCTTATGCTCGTTTATGGCTGTGTATGTCTTCGGCACATATTGATCCATTTGGGGCTTTGTCACGTTGGGACGTTGTATTTCAGCGCCTGGTTCGAATGTGTTGACCACGTTGTCGTCCGGTGCGCTAAGCAACTGCAAAGAGCAGCTCGCCGCCACATCCGGCGAAACGGGTGGTTTAGCCACAAAATAGAAGGGTTCATTGTTTAGGGGTTTCTCAACTGGATTGGCTATTTTCTGGGAATATTCATCAAGGAACTGACGGAGGTTTATAGATGGCTGTGGTGGCTCGAGCACGTTTTCCATATTGCTGCAAGAAATTAACAACGATTATTGACAGGAAGATTTCCTTTGCAGTAGAGATGGACGCGTGTTACGCACGATTATGCTTTGGCACACGTTCCATCACTAATAAAAACATACGGGGGGTTTCTAGTCGTCAAATAGGTCTATCGCTTCCTTATAGGTTATATTCAGCTTTAGGGTTGGTGGCTTTGTTTCAGCTTGTTGGGGTTCCTCTTCTGGTTTAATATCTTGTGGCTGACCCTCGATGTAAACCCGGTCGAAACTGATGACTTTTTCGGATTTATTCACGTACTTATATTGCTGTCGGCACACTGGCTCATAAAGTGGATCTCCGAATACGCTGTTGGTGTCTTTTTCGAAAAACACATTTGTGCCCATTGCCATATCATACGAACCTGCAAGAGTACAATTGTTAATAGTCATATTCAGTTTGCTGTGGTCCACATGCTGCACCTTTGAAAATGTTGCCATTGATCTCGGCCATGGGCGTGTCGCTCTCAATAGCAATTATTCGGATGGCAGCATCCTCGTGCTTCAGTTGATGCGGTGCCAAATGGTTTTTAAAGTCTGCATACACCAAATATTCGGTTTCTTCGTATTCCGAGTCAGAATCGCTCATGGTAATAGCAGCTGAGCACTAATATGGCAACCTAACGCAGACTGTCTGTAATCGATAACTGTCTGCAATCGATAACTGTCAAGCTAAACGATTATTTCACAGTATCGTCTCTAAAACCGAGGCGAATATATTTTCGCTGCGTTTTTTTGCGTTGACAAAATTTGTTTCTGTGAAAAAAGTGTCGGACTGTTGTAAATACAGGAATATTATTAAATTTTACTGCTGCTGTTAGTGCCCGAAAGTGTGAAGTAGAATAAATCAAAAAACAGCTCAAGCGCAAATTATCAAAATTAATATTAAGACACACTTTCGTTAGTTGGTAGCGTGTGGATTATCATTAGGCAGCGGCCATTTTGAGCGAACGCAGAAACGTCAGCAGCAGCGCCTTGCCTTGTATTTTGACGTAAGTGCTGGTAAAATAATAACTCAATGCGTATAAATGTGTGCCCCCATCAATGTATGATGCATATAATTTGCAACGTATTTATTGATGATTAAAATGCAAAAAATAGCGCCAAATTAAGACACGTACATTTTTATCAGACCCGACTCTCTTTGAGCAGGCTTTATTAATCGTATTTTGGCGTGCTCTTCCACCAAACACGTTCTCTTTACAGTGAATCACGATAACGATAAGTACCACAGTGCCGCAGTAAGCTTTTACGCGACAAAAGTTAAGCTTAGTAAACATAAACAAAAAACACCAAAGTTCAAAAGAGCCAAACCACAAATCAATCTAAGAACTATAATGGCCGATGAAGATATTACTTTAAATGAGGATCAGCTCTTGGAGTCGCTGGAGGAGACAAACGGCGAACAGGAGACTGAAATTGTGACTGAAACAGAGGTAAGTGTGAGAAGCCAAGCCAAACCAGTTTCCATTTCGCCTTGAATGCAAAAGCACACTGAAATTCGCGGAAAAAGCTTTTTTTATGCGCAAAGCTCACGACACAAAGCGGCAGCCATTTTCGAAGCGTCGTCTCTCAATCACCATAACTCCAGTCGGCTAAAGCAACGCATTCTGGGCATAACTTTGCATAACTTAATAATAATAAATAAATAACCAAATTTTCAAATTTCAATTGAATACTTAAGGAGGAGGGCAGCATGCAGATCGATCCTGAACTGGAGGCCATTAAGGCACGCGTCAAAGAGATGGAGGAGGAGGCTGAAAAAATAAAGCAAATGCAATCAGAGGTAGACAAACAAATGGCTGGCGGTTCAACAACCGGTTTGGCCACGGTGCCGCTTTCACTTGAAGAGAAACAGGAGATTGACACAAGGTCCGTGTATGTGGGCAATGTGGACTATGGTGCATCTGCCGAGGAGCTGGAGGCACATTTCCATGGTTGCGGCACCATAAATCGTGTTACCATACTATGCAATAAGGCTGACGGACATCCCAAGGGTTTTGCCTACATTGAGTTTGGCTCCAAGGAGTACGTGGAAACGGCACTGGCCATGAACGAAACCCTCTTCCGGGGACGTCAAATTAAGGTGCAGTCACTTAATCTCCTATAATCCATTGTCCATGTGAACTAACTCTTCATATTTTGTGTCACGCAGGTCATGTCGAAGCGTACCAACCGACCGGGACTCTCCACAACAAATCGCTTCGCGCGTGGCAGCTTCCGTGGCCGAGGAGCACGCGTGTCCCGTGCCTGCTGTCACTCCACTTTTCGTGGCGCTCGACGCGCAATGTAAGGCAGCTAGCATAGATTTGTCATTCTGTTGGTGCTTGGCTAATTCCGGTCTGTCTTTCGTTTCAGAAGAGGTTACCGCGGTCGCGCCAATTATTATGCGCCGTATTGATTATTGTGTTCATAATTTTATAGTAAGGTAAGTTGACTGAACAAAACCATAAATAGTCTGCGGGCATATGCCTTGTGAGATGTTTTTGATATTTAACATAGCGTATGCCCATTGTGCAAAGCCCATTTGTATATAATCAGTCCGCTTCCATTGCCAAAGTGCAGCAAAAACCCCAATTGTATCGGTTTAAAACCGTCCGCCTGTGATTTAGTTAGTTCTAACTCACGTATAATGCACATGGACGCTTTTGCTGTTAAAGCTTAATGTTTGGGGTATATGTACATAAAGCTTTTTAGGAGAAACTGCACTAATACTTGTACATTTTAACCCATACACGTGTACGTGTTTGTCAACAATAATCCGTACTTGTCATTTTGGCCATGTGCCTTATCCGTCTGTCTATATCTAAAACCAAGAACGGGGCACTTCAATAACAAATATTTAATTTTATTTTTAACACATTTCTTTAATCCAATCAATATTTGATTTCAGATTTTTTTAATATATAATTTCAAAAAACATTTTATTGCCAAAACTTCTTTGCTAATAAATACAAAAATAAAAAAGAATGCAAGAGTACGCCAACAAAAAAAAATATGCATAGAAATAATAAAAAAATATCAACTGCACCAACGAAAAAAATTTCTAAAAAAGGCGCAAAAAAGATGAAACCAATAAAATGAAAATCAACAAGGAAAAGATTTAAAAAAAAAACGTACTTGGCTATAATGTTTTTTGAAGCACCCAACACCACAAACACCCCCTTATCACACTTTTTAATTTTTCAAAATAAAAAAATAAAATAATTATATATATTTATATATATAAACTGCAAAACTTAAAAAAAGATGAGAAACAGTTGGTAAAAAATATATGTTTAAAAAAGAAGACAAACAAAAGCAGCATAAAAAATAAAACAAAGAAAAGAAGTTCTAAAGATGGCAAAAATAAAAAGAGGATAAAAAGAATGTAAAAAAAATGTTGAAAAAAGAGCAGACAAGGAAAAGATGAAAACACCACAAAATAAAAAAAAAATATAATAAAGAAATCCCAAGATAATTTTAAAATCTTGTTCATGTATTCGAAAAAAATAACATATATACATAATAGTATACAAGAAAATTGATAATATCGAAAAGATGAAGAAATATAAACGAATTAAACAACTTTTCTATGCCTTTCCTTTGGGTGGGAGAAGGTTGGGAGAGAGAGAGAGAGCGAGAAAGAGAGAGAGAGAGAGAGAGAGCTGGGAGAAAGAGCTGGCGGCGAGGCAACAATTGAATTCCGAGTTCCCGGCATTATTTATGGTTTGCATAACTAAGCATTATATAATATATATATATTAACTATATAGCATGTGTTTCCCAAACAGAAAATTCAAAATAAAATAAACTTGGCATTAACGCACGCTATTATACGGGTTTTATTTCAATTAAACAAAGTGCAGGAATCCAAAAAATTTATGCAACATTCAAATGATGATCCTCGATTGCTCGACGGGATGCCAGATGGACAACGCTTAGTTCTTCTTCTGGATGGCAGCCTGTACCAGTGGCAGGTTCTTGCTCAGGAAACACTTGAAGCCGCGATAGGCCCAGGCGTTGGGTGTCGACTTCTGTTCGTTCTTGTCGGCGCACTTCTCGATGTCAGCCTTCAGGAGGGTCTTGTCCTCACGGCCCTGGCCCAGCTGGGCGACCAGGTTATCAACCTTGAAACCCTTGGCATCCTCGAACAGATCGAATTTATTGAAAATGCATTTAATGTAGCTGCGTGTGATCTCGTCGTCGGGATACTCGAAGGTCTTGTATTTGGCAACCAGCGCCTCGGTCACTTTGTTCGACTCGGCGCACTCCTTGCGCACCTTCTGCAGATCCTCGGCGGTGCGGACCTTGTACTCGCCAGCGGAGGCCTGCACGACGTATGTGAAAGATTAGAGTAACTAAATGCTGCCCGGGCTAACGAGGCACACTTACCAGGCCAATCAAGGCGCAAAGGAGAATGGCAACGGCGTTCTTCATAATTGCAGGATTAGTTTTTTTTTTATTTTAGTTTATATTGAAATCAGGCAACTTGCTTTGCTGTGTATGGCACCGGAGTGAAAACTAATGATTGACTGCCGTGGTGCTCTGGCTTTTATACCTTCCATTTGGGGGCATGCTTCGGCCGGAGCCGACGCGAGTCGTCGCCAGACGGGCGGAGGGGGGCCGCACATCGGCTTCAATTGAGTCGCCGTTTTGTTCGCTACGTGCAATTTAAATTTGATATGGAAAATTTAACTCGCCTTTAAAGTCGTACGTTTATTTTATTTTTTTTTTAAGTACTTAACTAAGGCACAGATTAATTTAAGTTATTTGTTTTTTGATTCTGGTACATATGTAAATATAGTTTACAGTACTTGGAATCGTAATTTTTCTGTTATTGCGCTTGGAATAAATTGTCCATTAGCTTGACCTTTGCTATGGCATTATTATAATCAGCCAAATCTGCGGCGATCTCATTGAGGAGCACAAATTCCAAGAGCTAGATAAACCAATGGAGCTCTTATTGCCCTTGCGATAAGTAAAAACATGTTTAAATAATAAATTAAAATCCTTAATTAAACAATTTTATTTTAAAACAGTTGTGAACCAAGGTCCGAGCAAGATCTCAGGCAAAGTCCAGGGAAGCTGCAAATAGCTCGCTCTACGAGAACTAACTGAGGTGCTTCAGGATCTACAGTAGACTGTTGCTTCGGGCTGGCATTAGAGTAACCTTCTCCGTGCCCTTACTCCTGGCAAATTGCCTTGGGCTTGGTTTCTCTGGCTACTATTATATTCCGTCTAAATCCCTGGCACTTTCGTCTTGTCTGGTCAGCCTGCACATTAACGGAGTCTTCCTGCTATCACGACCCGAATCTTGGCTATACGTCTTCGAAGTGATCCGAGCAAGCGAATATTTTTGTTCGTCTCGCAGCCTTGTCAAACATATGTACATTAAGATTAAGTTAATTAATACTATTATTTAAGCTAAACCAATCTGGTATGCAATAGGTATTCATATCCAATTAAAATGCTATACAACATGTGTTTGGATTTTGAAAATAAACAAGCTATATATTTAATTATAATTAGAAATGTATTACTAAAATTCCACTTTCGCTTAGCATTTAGCGGGCAATAGAGTATGAGCTAGTCGGTATAGCGCCTGTTTAACACATTTTAATGGATATCTGTGTTCTGCATCAGGTTAGCTATATGCTCGAAACGCTAAGACCCAAAATAGGGACAGCAGGAAACCCTTCTATTGTATAAACAGAGACTTAAATTGGTGAGGAAAGGATTTCAAGTAAATCTCTCACTTCTGTTACTCAGAGCTGGACAAGGGCAGAGGAAGTTTCAACATGTCTCTTCGTTTAAATAATGCTTAGTTTTTTTTTGTAGCTGCGCCTCTGATAATGTACGCCTATTAGTCGGCACTTAAGCCGTAGCACTCCCTAGTCTCTGCCGCTTTGTATGCTAATGAAGATGATCATCATGATGATGATGATGATGAGCATGCTGCTGCTGCTGCTGCTGCAGTTGTTGTTTGGCTGGGCTGCTGTGATTTAAATGAGCATTAATTGAATTGGCAAAAATTACGTTGACAAATACATGCCCTCATGTGTCTGCCGAGCGTACATTTGAGTCCACCTACCCAACCTCCTCCCCCCCTCGATTACCGTGCGGCGTTGATTTGATTGTGCGGCTCGGCTGTTTGTCCATAATCGCAGATTTTCTACTCGAATGTTCTCATATTTATTTATGCATGCTAGACGACAAAGGCGACAAGCCCCAACAATTGTATCTATGAACAACACACATTTGAAAATTTTCCACTGCAACTTGAGTTCATGTTTTATTCGACGGACTGTCGCCTGATATCTATTGTTGTGACTACAGCCAAATTAGAAGTCCATCCAGATGAGATTCAGTCTGCAAACCGATTTAAACCAAAGTGGTTTGAACCAGGAAACGGGTTCTCTAAACTGAATCTTCAACCGGATCAGGCCCATGATGAAAAGGAATATATAAAAGTTTGTAGGCTTAGCAATATTTGTTGTTTGTGGAATTTAAATAAAAAATTAAATTAAATATCTTACATTTAAAAAACGAAACGAAACAATCTTGAACTGGGTTCATAAACCGATCCACAGACATTTTCTTATGTAGATAACAATTTAATATAATTTCCAATAAATATATATTTATAAAGGTTGTTTTAAAGCATTTGATTTTTTATTGAAACATTATATATTCGTTCTTTTTGTTGTAATATTTATATTTTTGGGGCTAAGCAGCGTTTATTATTATATATTTAAGCATTTGTTTAGGCCCAGCGTAAACTAAATCATAAGCACAAAATATTATCATTAACTGATGATCACAAAATTATAATAATTATAAAAATAGACGTAGTTAAGTTTAAATTATAAATCACAAGATTTCAATATAGTAGCTCAGGAATTTCAGTTTACAATTGATTTTCATTTTATTATCATTCAATGCAGATAAAAGAAACAAAAAGGCATATAGGAAATAAATAAAACCTTTGCAAATAAATTCACTTATTTCGAATCAAATACAAATCAATTAACTAAATAATTTGTATGCAATGTTACAAATTCAAGGCTAAATCACTTTTTCTGCTTGTTGACACAGAACTTAATATATAATTTAATTATAGTATACATAGGCTTGATGTATTTATGAATTTCAATTGTGATCAACTTGTTTTTTCCTCTTTCTTTGCTATCTTTTTGGAAATTTGAACAGCGCTTGAACGAGTTTGTATGCGAAATGAACATAATGTTTACGAAATATAACACGACAGAAGCTTCACTCTAATAGTCAATAGTAATATTGTATAAATATATATATATGTATATATAATATATATATGTATATATAATATAAGTGTAGTTGCGTTTGGTTATGGATTATTCATTTCTCTGGAATGGGTCTCAGTGTGGCTGTGTCTAGTTTGTTTGGCGGCACCTGCGCCGTCTCCAGTTCCGGCAAATCCGGTATGGGATCACGCCAGTAGTTGAAATTGGAGAATTCGATGGCAACTTCGTCATGCTTGACGGGTGGAAACAATTGATCCACAATATAAGTCATGCTGCAATACCTGTAAAAAAAAAATATAAACAATGCATTAGTCATATTTTTCTGCAGACAACAAGATTTATGCAATATAAATAATTGCCATTGGCCCGGCGCCTAAGCGTATGCAACAGAAATTTGAGTGCAACCTAACCTCAAACTTGTGCTACAATGCAACCTAACCTCAAACTAATGCCACATGCCACACGCAAAAAATTAAAATCGCATTATAACAACGAAAGTATGCACACATTTTATTTGTGTATAAATTATTATAGAAAAAAACAAACTAAGCTCTATATATAGCTATAATGGTTGAACAAATCTTAAAACTAGGCATATATCGTGGGAGTTTAAGCTCTCAAAAGTCGGCTTACTTATTGCTAGTATAATAGGAGGGAGCGTGCTCCCATATCACAAAACTATAGACTAATATGAAACTTAGCGCTAAACATATATCATATCACAAATTGAGGATTATCCCCACTGTTTAAAATACATCTATGGATTTTGCTTAGGCAGCCATTTCCAGTATTTTTGTATTTCATTTTTGGCTTCGTGTGTGCTCATAATGAGGTTCATATCCGGATCATCATTGGCTTTGGCCAAGTCGTCATCAAAGATAGCCTCGTCAATATTATCATTGTCATCGTCATCGTCATTGTTATCATCATCAACAGCAACGTCGCTGGCCTCGTCCATATCATAATCATCGCTGAATTGTAGCTCATCTGGCAATTCCTCATCGTCGAATACATCAGTGCGATATTCGTATTCATCAGTGTGCATCAGCAGCGGAAAGTATTCATTGACCTCAAGCGACTGATTGATGTAGCCACTATAAATTTGACAACCAAAATGCTTGAGTTGAGTTTTTGGCACTCTCAATTTTGGGATTTTGATTGCGATTGATTGATTGATAGATTGATTGGTTGATTGCATGAATTTTGGTAGTACAATAATGAGGACAATTCCTACACACAACATTTAAGTGGAGTAGTACTTACAACCTATAGGCGCACCTAGCGTTACGTTATGATGTTAATACGAGTTAAACCAATTGGGTTTGCTTGCGATTTTAAATGTGGCATGATTTGCAGTTAAAGCTTTAGCCTAATAATGAAAGCTTTAAGTGAGCTTTGTTGTAAATGTGTAAATTGCGCTCACTTTAAGGGAGCTTTCAGCCAATTTGAACGAGCTTTAAACGTGCTTCAAGATTAAGCTTCACTTTAAGATTTCAAAAGTTACAAAGCAGTTGGGAAGACACCACAACCATATAGACATTAATGATGCGATATTTGGCACTTTACTTACGAAGATTGGAATGTTTGGGTCAACTCGTGTTTTAGCTCGCCCTTCGTGTTGATGGTGAAAATGCGCATAATGGGTATGCCGACGGCGCGATAGGCCCACACATCCTAAAAAGACGACAAGCCTGTTGGTAAGTATCACAAATTAAATGAAAAAACTAATCAAACTCACATTAATGCGATTGCCGTAGCCGGCGTAGAAGGGCTCCTTGTCCGGGAAGAGGTCGCGTATATCTGACAGACAGGCGATCTTAAACTGTTCCGGTTTCTTTTCAATGACCTCTCGATGAAAGGCGGATATCAAGGAAGTGGGATTCAAGAGCAACGGGCCGTCGGGCAGCATGACATTGCCCTGCCTGATGGAGCGTAAATATTCGCGTGTCACGCGTGACTGGCCAATGGCACGTGCCGATAGATAGAGCAGCTTATAACCATTCTGTTCAATTTTCGAGAATAGCTGAGCCACGCCCAATTGCGCCCAATCCTTGCCAACCATCGGCAGAATGTGGCCCAGCACATCCGACTTGGTAATGGTGCCATCAATATCCGAAATGACAACCTTATCGTTGTGCTTCCAGCGGAACAAATAGCACTTGCAGCGCGTGGTGCCCTGATAAGCGGTCGTCACACTGAACTCTATTTCGTTCATGCCCTCTTTGAGGTTTAGTTTTTTCTGTAAATGAAGCAGAACGAGCAGAGAAGGCTGTTAGAGAAGAGAGAGAGCAGGATTTTCGGGCACTTACAATGGCCGCCGAGCTGAGGCGCAGCGTTTTCTTGTAGCGCTCTTTGGGCTCATCGCTCTTATTGGAGCCCATGGTCAGCTCCTCGAGATTGTCTACCAGAGCGGAAGTGTTCTCGACATTGCCCAGCGAGTCGCTCTTGCTGAGAATGGGATCGCTTATATCCGGGGAATTAGGACGCGATGTTTGCGTGCTAACTGCAGCCTGATCGCCATCTAAAATAGCAGCAGAAGATAAGCTGGTCACAAATAATGGCTGGTCCAAAAGAAGTTTACCTTTCTCATCCTTGCCCAGCGCAGCGGAATTCTGATGTTTCTTGTCGGCACCGTTCACCTGACTAGGCACTGCATCCTGAGATCGTCGCCAAATCCACCAGGAACGCTTGGTTTGACCAACATTGTCCGTTGGGTGAACGGCCTCGGGCTTGTCATCGCCCCCAATTTGTGCCGCTGGCGAAATGAGCTGCTCGATGGCATCCTTGAAAGAAAAGAAGAAAATTAATTGGGTTCCATAACGGTACAGTGCGGCGGAAACCATAACTTTGGGCATTAGTCAAGACTTACTTCGGTTAGTTGCTTCTGGAATGTTATCATTGTCATGACAATGGGACATGCAGCTATCCAAGTGTAGTATTTGCCATTTAGACGTACAACTAGGTTCGGTGATGCAAACATATTTGGATTCTTGCACACCTGCGCACAGGAAATCGGCAGGTAGCAGGGCAAAAGCAGGGCGGCAAGCATGAATAAAATGTATTTTGTTAATAAGGGTGCGGAGTGCAGTGTATCGCAGTGTTGTGGGGTGCAGTGGAAACAAATGCACACAAACTAGCCACAGAACCATCGATAGCAACAATTAGAGTATTTAATAACTATTACTCCCTACACGAACAATCTAGATACTCGCAATGGGAATATGAAGCGAAGTAATCTCGTTCTTCTCAATTCAAAAGTTCCCAAATGTAAGATTCAAATTGTAAAATTATATAATAACAATTTCATCTACACCTGAATAACAACTATCGATGGTTTTGCAGGACAATGGCAATTTAAAAGGGGTTTACTTACATCTGCATAGGTGACCAGCTGCCGATCGAAATCCTCATCTCTGGGCGGAGCACCGTTCTCCTGCATGCCGCACATGGACATGGCCACGAAGTCCAAATATCTAGTTAAATATAAATCGAGGGGATAAGACATAAACTCATAATATTTGCGAGGGATTCGGCTAGCGGCTACGCACTTCTTGCCCTGTGGTGCCAGCTGTTTGCTCTCATCATAGTCCGAGTCCAGGCTCTTTTGGTTCTCCTCCAGCGAACTGGGCGAATGAGGCAGGCTGGTGCCGTTGCCACTCTCGCGATCCTCGTCGCCGCTGTTCGTTTGCTTGCCCTCCTTGTTCTTGGGACTGGGAAAGTAGAGAGCCGCCATCTCGGGATCCATTCGGCCAAGATCCAAATCGGATAGATAGATATCGCCAGCTTCGTTAGCGCCCTCTTTGCGCAAACGATTGGCCCGCTTCATGAAGCTAAACATGTTGCTCAACATCCAGTGGCGTTGGCTTTGCTGTGCATCCGCGGCGCTAACCGCACCCTTGGCCTGCTCCGGCGTGGGCAGCTCACCCCAATTCCAGAGAGCGCTGTTCTCATCATCGACACCATGACGCTTATCGCGCATGGTCGTTTCCAGTTCGCTGTCGCTCTGTATGGGCGTCGAGGGACGACCGGCGCCGCGTCCAGCGCCTCCAGCTCCAATGCCCGTGGGCGTTGTGATCTCTGTGTCGCTAAAGAAGTGTATGTCCAGGTCGTGCCGTGCCGCGTTTGTGGGCGTGACGGTATGCGCCAGTTCGCTAAGTGAACTATCATTGCCTGTGCGTGCCGTTAGGAGTGCGGGCGAGGCCTGCTCATCATTTGACGAGGAGTTGGTATGGGCAATGGAAACACTGGCCGCCACATCAGTCTCATCAATATTGCTGACCTGCAACGAGCTGAGCGAGATGGCATCTGCATTGGCCGCATCGCCGCCAGCGGCGCTGCCAGCAGAGCTGCTTGAGGAAGTCTTGCGCTGTGTGTTCTTCTTCTTCATTTGCGACTTCTTGCGGCGCTTCTTGGTCTTGCTCTTGACATCATCCTTATTGGCCTCACTGATGACAGTTGGCGCTGCCGCGGCTACTGTCACAGCTGGTGGTATCAGCAGCAACTCCGATTTGGCTGATGGCGGCGTTTGAGCAACCTCTGGCTCGGGTGCTGGTTGCGGTTCCGACTCTGACTTTGGCTCTGGCATTTTCTCAACCTTCTCTGGCTGCTGTTTCTTCTCTTGAAATAACTCCTCATGCTCGGCCCATTCCTGACGCATCTTTCGAGTTGTATACTCCTTGATTTTCTCACTCAAATTACGACGCTCTAAGATGTTATCCGTGTGCCTGCAATGAAACAGTGCAGATTAGTAGATCGCAAGGGTAGCAAATTAAAATAGAGGTTTCTGGCAAAGCGTCGCTACCTGCGGTGCGTGTAGTCCGATGCCTGATTCTCGAACTTGCTACCCTCTGTAACAATTTCTTTGGGCTCCTCCTTGGAGAGATCAATTGAGTTGCGACGCGGCAAAGGCAACGGTATTTGAAGTTCATCGCTAGCGCTTCTAAAATATGTAAATGATGATAGTTTATGTAGCTAGCTGCAGTGGAACGTTATCTACGGATGTTATACAAAGACGGATAACCTACTTGTCGGCTGTCACGCCGCGGATTTCCTCCAGGCTGTCGTTGACTTTGTTCAGCGACTGCAAAAAACTCTTTGGTATGGGTGAAGTGGCCAAATTGGCGGGCAACTCCTCATCATCATCATCCGGGCACTCCTCCACAAAGAACGCCTCCCCAGAGTCGCCCAGCTTCATTTGTATGTCGACGGGGACGCCATTGATTTCAATGTCCACCTGGCCAAAGAAATAAATATTAATAAAGCGGGAATGGTACGCCCGCCCAACCCCTCCTTATGCTACTTACCACCTTCTCGCGACTGCGCAGCACGCCCAGCTTGCCGAAACGCACATGGAAGGGCGAACATTGGAACTCGCCGTCCTTTTGCTCCACAACGATCACATCGATGGCTCCGGTCAGTGTGGCCGCATTGATGTCATTGTAGAAGTCTTGCAAATTGCTAAAAACGCGCGCTAAACTGTGCATTTTGATTGCAAAAGTTTATCGACACTGTCTATCGATATCGATTTTAGTTAATTCTAGATCGCACAAATGTGTGCGTGTTTCCTCGGCTTTAAATTGTATGTGTGCGCGCAATTAATAAAAACTCATTTTATTGCACTTGTTATTGATGTTGCTGAGTCGTTCGCTCTGCTGATAAATCAACCTTTGGACAACTGTAAATGGCAGAAAACACAGAGTAAGTCATTATTTGATTTGCCCAAATATTATATAGCTAGTTTTTTTTTGTCTATGCTTTTGTGCTTAAAAATACAAATTTGCGGCAGCTAGCAAAACGTTTTGTGGCACTTCTGCTGACATTTAAATGCAGCCGACAAGTGCAATAAATGCAAAAGATGAAAACAAATTTTGGCGCAACATGAATCAACACATCTTTTCTTGTTGCTAACTGTATATAATTTGCTAGCTTCTTCTTCCACGCAGAAAGTCAAGGTGATTGCATTGCGAATGCAAGCAAAACAAATGCAAACAACGAATTAATGTGTGGAATTAAATGGGTGGTGAATATGTTGAATATATCTATGTATATACATACATATATATCTATGAACATATGTATGTATATATTTTGAACAGTGTGTAATGTTTGTTGTTATGCTAACAGCAGTTACTAAAAAGTCAATAGCAATGTTTTACAGTTATCCTTGCTTTTATTTATTTCGAAAATAAACAGTGTAGGTAAACGTCATGCGACATTCAAAGCGCATTCACTTGGGATATTCGCGTGAATTTACAACAAGTTCATGGCAAGGCGGGGGCGGGGGCTGCACAAACTACGCAAGCTGTAACTGTAACTGTTGCTGTCTTTGCGAACAGAGCTTTCGGTGTGGTGCAAACATGTGTGTGCTGTAGGCGAGTGTTATCGAAAAAAGAAGATAGTGTGATTGTTAACCGCTTTAGTGGCGTGTTCCCACCGTTTATATGTGGGTAATAAAACAATAATATCGTCAATACATACACAAATGCGTAAAGATACATATGTATGTATGCTCATTACTCATTTCTCATGCCACTGGAAAACATCACGCGATTTCACAGGCGGCATTTAAAACATACATATATTATACATAAGTATGTATGTATATATATAGATTTGTAAATTAATATATTGTGTTTATCAGGCCTGTTACGAGTTCATTAAGTCTTGCGCATTCAATATGTACGCGTAGACAAATCGCGTGATTAAGTTTTAACTGTTCTGCAAATCGTGGAATTCAATAAATTAATAGAATGCGCTTGTTTAAAATTTACCAGCGTAAAGGTCAATGTACAATGTTTTTAGCCAAATTTTATCATGGCCAAAAGTATGAAATGTTTATTGTTTGTGCTTATCGCAAAGGAAATGGTCAAAAATATTTTATGCCCATATTAGTCTAGTACCTAGCAGTGTACTTCTTGTAGTTGATAAGACAAGGCACATTTCTCAATTGATAAATTCGTATGTGTGTGTGTGCGTAATTTTTTTAGTTCAATTTTTGGATCTATGTTTATTTAGTCAAGTCTAACCATCAATGAAAATCAAAGTCCACTTGAAATACTAAAGCAGACATCATGCCACCTATCACGCGTCGTTTGCGATGTTACTTTCACCTGCAAACAAAACGCAACGCGCAACGCAACGTGCGAAAAGCCACAAGCAAAACAAAACGCACAAAAAAGCTCAGTGCTGCGGATGCAGCACTAAGAGTGAGCGGGAGGGGTAACAATTAAACTCACACATGTGGAAGCTGCATAGCAACAACAACAACAACAACAACAGACACTGGAACCAAACGAAGCAAATAAAATTTGCACAAAATAGGCAAAACGAATTTTCTGTAAAGACCGCAACGGCACAACCAATTGACGTGTATTTCTGAATGTTTGTGTTTATTTATTAGTCGCAACGCTGCTTAGTGAATTTTGTTGAGTCACGATCAAAGTCCAAGACACTCACTTATTAAAAACAAAAAAGCAAGAAACAGGCAAACACAAACACACAGGAACAAAGTCGAACAAAATTGTGTGCCAAGAAAAATCACATTGAATTGCACACGTTTCTAGTATAATGGAAATTTTATGTGTCCGCTACCTTCGTTGAGTTTTTCTTCTTTCAAAATCTATTTATTCGCTGCTGTGGTTTTCCTTGGCTTTTTTATATTTCCTTTTTGGATTTTTCACGAAAAACTAGCAAGACAAATTGCGCCTCACTCTATTTCTGCTGCAGCAGCACTTGAAATTGTTTGCTATAGTTTAAAGTAAACTTTTTAAAGTTGGCACAGTTTTTGTGTAACTCAGTATAAAATGTTTGACAAGTCTTTTTGTTAGCGTTGTCTTTTTCTTTGTATTCAACTTTTTAGCTGCTCCGCCTTGCTTGTTGCCTCGTCGACAGAGCTTGCACAACTGAGCGCTCGTGCGACAGCATCGACTCTTTTTAGTTACCCAAGTGAGCAGCGGTGCGCCATAGCTAATTAAATTAAGCAGCTGCTTTTGTATGTGTGTGTGGGAGAGCGGCGAGCACGTTGCGCGCGAGACTTAAGAGCAAAAAGCTTTGCCATGTGTTTGTTTGTATTAAAAATAAACCTGTTAAACCAGAAAGTATGTCTTGTAAAACATGTTTGTTGTTAGTGTTGTTAGAAATTTGTTGCTATGGCCGAGGCTGAGCAGCTGTTCCAGCGCATTCTCTGCTTCTCTCTCTCTCTCTCTCTCTCTCTCTCTTCAATTGTACTTTTAAGCGCTCAAATACTAAGCTGCGAACAGCAACAACAACAACTTAAATAAATGTGCTTATCAGCTGTACGCAGCGTCGTCTTAAGCAGCTGTTGCTCTATGTTAATAATGTTAATAATTGCATTTTGCTGTACATGTACATAAGTGTGTATGTATATGTATGTATGTGTTGTGCTAACGACGCGTCATTCGATGTTGCATTCAAAACATCGCCTCCTCAGAAAGCTTTCGACCTATGCGACAGGAAATGTCTTTATGTATGTACTTGACATATGAACATATGTATTTATTCTATACGAATGGCAAACATCAAGAAAATTCGGCAGAGTCTCAACGCACGTGCTCATGGCCTTCTCTAGGCAAAAAACAAAAAAGAACTCGGAATATAAGCAAAAAAAAAAAAATAAAAATTTGTCACAGTTTTGCGCTGTGGAATCTTTTGCAAAATGAGCAGACAAGTTGTTGTCGGGTGCCAAAATAATAAATGCTACACTGAGAGAAAATGCGTCTGCAAACTTAATAATTAAAAAGCACTTACCGAAAATTATAAATTGAAAATGCAACATTACTAGAAAATATAAAATAAGCAATTCTTCAAGGTCAATTTCAAATAATTTAAGTTTATTTATAAATGTTTATATAGTAAATAATAACTAAATTAAAATGCATAATTATGTACATTGAACAAATTGTACCAAAATAATATAATAATATAATAAAGTATATAGTTTCTTTGTAATATTTTGTTTGTTTGTCTACTTGCTACTTTTTTGTCAATTTGTATGCATATATATAATAGATAAATATAACAAATACAATATAATTGGCAAATGCAGGCATACAGATAAATACACGTGTATGTAATATATAAATAAAAATAACTAAGCTTTATCAATTAAGAGAAATAATAATAAAATAGCTGATGAAATATGATTTCCGTTTTTTTTTTGTTTTTTCTTTTGTAATATTTTTTTAATTTTTTTGCATTAGTTAAGCGTTTATATTACTTGTTTAAGAACTCTAATAAAAATGCAATCATTGTTGTTGTTGTTGTTGTTGTTGTCGATGATCGCCTAAGGTCCTTCTTTTGATTTGCTTTTGCGACGCGCATCCGTTATAGCACCCCAGAGTTCGATAATGAAGTCGTCGGTGAAACCGAACGATTCCAGGTCCGAGTTATCAATGGCCTCAGCAAAGTCCATGGAGTTGGACTTCTTGTCACCCAGTTCCCATATCTGTGACGCCAGTTCCGTATCGTTGATGCCCATAAACGATTCGAGCAGATTGTTAATCGCCTCAACGCCCGCGGTGGTTGCCTCATCGAATTTGGGCTCAATCTGTGCATTGCCATTGGCCTTGAAGCGCAGCGTCTCCTTGCCGCTGCCGTAATTGCGTCCGGCATTGCCGCCGGCGCCGCCGCCGGATGCCGAGGCGGATGCACGGGATTGGCTGCGCGGTCCGATGCCCTGGAAGCCGCTGCGGATCGGCTCGACCAGGCGCAGCGTGAACGTCTCCCCCGTCCCAATGTCCTTCAGCATGCGTGCCACCTCGTAATGCCTTTTGCCCACCATATTGAGACCATTCAGCTTCTCGATGTGATCCCCGACGGATATGTGCTCGATGCGATCAATAATGGAGTCCTCTTTGATGCGTTTAATGAATGCATAACCGGCACCATTATCGGTTATGGTCAGACCCAGAGCATCCTGCGTCTTGACAATCTCAATCTCCTTGGCGCGACCCTTGCGATGGGCAAATATAAAATCATCTAGCCCGATCTGGCCGCCCAACAGACGCGTCATGTCCACTTTGTGCGAGTTAAGGGTACAGAATAAAATGTCATCCTCGGATATATCAAAGCATTCGGCTATTTTCTTATACAGCTCACGAACGCTAGCAAAGCCCGTGATCAGACCCGTCGGACTGCCATGTGCCAGTTGGCAGTGGAAGATCAGCGGGGGCTTCTTGTCCAGATCATTGTTATTGTTCTGATGATTGCTATTGTTGTTTTGCAGCATAGACGAGTTCAAGGACGTGCGTCCTTTGCTGTCCTGACTGATGTTGCTGTGTTCAGATGAGTTCTTCGAGGATTTACGGGCAAAGAGCGGCATTTTTGGAGGGCTATTCTTCTATTTTCCTCTATATAAATATATGAATTTTTATTGGGTGTCCTTTGTTCGCTTTATTCTCATATATATTTTTTTATCTGTGTGCGTAGAAGAAATTTGTGGATCTCTTTTTTGAATAGTTCATTATAAGTTTAAGCTATTTATTAGTTCCGTTTCCAAAATGTGTATAAAATGTGAGTATGCATGTGTGTGTGTATGTGTTTGTGTGTGTGTGTGTATGTACAAGTATAACACCGAAAAACCATAAAACATTTATACATATTTATCTAATCTTTGCACAATTTATTGCCACACGAATCGGACACAAAAGAAAACATGAGTCAATGTGCGTTATTTTTCCAGTTCGAACCGATGTTCTACTAACGATTTACACAAGTTAGTTAAATGGATCAGATATATATAACAAAGGAGTATACTAATTGGCTAATTGATATACTTATATTGTGCGAACTAATTATCGATGTGCTAATTAGAATTGGTAAACAAAGACGCGGGCCATGTGAATAGTGGGAAGTGAGGTTAAAGACGTTAAAGTTATTTCTCTCAAGGTTCTTGTCAAAATTTAACCGACTCTTACCCAGGTTGTCGACTTATTAAACTGGACTTAAGTTGCCGCAGCACAGTTGAAATGCGAAAATTAGGAAAATCGCATGCCGCGACGCAAAAATACACAACGGAATTGAAGACAGTTTTGTTTTTTTTTTTGTAAAACTCGCAAAAGTTGTTGCCGCTTGATAAGATTTCAATGTGTGACAATCGCGTGATAAAAGCGCTCAGCGAGAGAGCAAAAGAGAGAGAGAGAGAGTGGGAAAGTGGGAGAGAGAGAAGATAACGTTTGATTAGCCATAAGCGGTAAAGATTGTGGCGGCCCGAACGAAGCGCTTTTCGCGTCAACCGATCCGCGTTTTTTTCGTTAACTGAGACTCGACAGCATTTGTCAGATGTGACCAGATCGCAGAAATGTTAAGCAAACCACAATTAATGGGATATTCACTCACTACATGGGGAAATGTGTTTTGTGTTTTTTCTGATCTGTCGTACGTAGGATTCCTCGATTCGTTGTACTCGCTGCTGTCCGAAATGTCTTTTACACTTGCAAACTGAATGGTTATCACACGCAGAAAATTTTGAAAAACTAAAGCAAAACAAATTTAAACATCGAAATCAAACATCAAATCCAAACAATACATGAAAGGTTAAACAAAGTCCGACTCAGTAATACATACGTCAACATAATTGGATTGAACTAATGCCAAAGTTTACCAAAGAGAACAATTCGAGCTCTTGATGTGCGCAAATTGAAACGTGTCAACTCTGGTTAAGAGTTTGAGAGCTTGTGTTCTTTGGCGTTGCCACCTAACTTGAAATGTGCGTTTAAATCGGAATTGTATTACATTTATTGTATATCTATATTGTATGATAAGTATTAATATATGATTTAGTTTCAAACTATGGAACTGAACCTAACTTGCCCATCAGTTACGTTTTTCTCCTGTTCCGTTGACTTTTAAAATCTAAAAAGTATTCTGATCTTTCCTTATTTTTCTGTTATCAAAATTTTGCCTAAGCCTGAGGATTTTGAAATTTTAAGTCTTTAATTTTAAGAAAATGGGCTTCCAAAAATGAGAATTAGGTTAGAAAATGTTCTATAAATATTTAAGATTATTTCTTTGAATATTATATGATATAGTGGCATGATTTATCAATTTGGTTGATGCCATTAATATGATATGACTATGTATATTTTTTGATAGTTTTATGGAGCTTGGCCTCTCTCTCTCTCTCTCTCTGTCTGACTGTCTTCTTCTCTCTATCTCTCTCGCCCTGTCTGGCTGTCTTCTTCTCTCTATCTCTCTACATGAAGCTCTTCCCTTTGTGGTCACCTGTAATTTGAGCAGTGTATCTATAAGTAGAGCTCTCTAGTTTTGTCTATTCATGTTTTCCTTGTTTATTTTGCTTGGATTTCTGCTTTTGCAAATTCACGTTCGCTTTCAACTTTGCTTTACCTTGATCGTCCAATTTTATTTATTTTATTTGGTTTTGCTGGAATAATTAAAGCACAATTTGCATTTTTTACGGTATTCGAAACATCCGCCTTATATGGATATAAAAAATAAAGAAGGTTGAAATCTTTTTGATATGTTTGATAAGCTCCTGAACTCTACACAGCTTCAACAAATTGCGAGCTGGCAAAAGTTCACCCAGCCAAGCTCTTTTTTATGGCTACGAAAAAAACCATTTAAAGCGTCAATTGAAAAACACGAGAGCAAAGCTGAGAGGCAACTCGAGACGAGCCCCTTTAATCAGGCATGCGCGAGAAATGTATACCCACATATATATATATATATATACATAAATATATTTCATCTGTGGGGAGCACAACAAGCTCTACATCTGATTATTGCGGTACACACACATATAAATCGCGTATAGAGTCATTCTATATATGTGTTTTTCAGCGCACAACCGGCTATTTCTAGCCGAGCATAATAGATAACCCGGCGAATGAAAAAAAAAACACAACACACATCAAGGTCGAATTAGTTAAGCATAGAGCGCGTGTAGCGATATCCGTACCTTTTACACTAACAACAAATACAAGAAAACAAAAACAAATACAAAAACAACAACTCTTATGAACATACTACGCATTGGGATTTCATTTGCAAACGTACCCGGCTTTATATGTGAATAAACAAACAATTCGGTTGAAGGAACTCTATTTTTCGTTTAACTATTTCAAAAGTTGCGTTCGTTACCCTAATAATAATATACCCTATACATTTATACACATTAGCAGCATTTGTGATGCATAATTATTTATTATCTTTTATCAATTATAATTAGGAGAAATTAATACAGATTAAAAAAATAATATATATAAATTTAATTAAGAGCAATTAATACAGATTTTAGGTATTTTAATGAAGCTAGTAAGCAAAAAATAATATTTAATAATTTCCCAATATTAGATCTTTCCAGAAATTGTAATTTTCAAGATATTTGAATTGTCCCAAACTTATAATACAGGGCTTTTTCGTGTACAAGTTGCTTGCATTAATAAATCTTATTTTTGGCATGGTTTCAATTCTTTCGCAATTTTTCTAAGGTCTCAGTCTAAAGTCTAGAAATTATGAAATTCTATTTTTGATATTTTACAGGTTCCTCTCATAACTAGTTTTAAGGTAGAGCTTTGGAAATAAAATTTTCGACATCAGTTTTCAACTAAGCATGGGCATAGTTTTCGAAAACTGCGAAACACGACTCCAATAAATTTCCCCAAAGAATTTGGAAAATAAGTTCTAGGCCGATTGGATGCAAAATATTATACGATTGTTTACCCCAAATTGAATTGAATAAGCTCTCTATTCTAAAATCAGGCAACTAGAGGTATGTGCTTTGCTCGTATCATCAGTCAATCAGTCAGTCAATCAATCAGTCAATCAATCAGTCAGTCTGTATATAGAGTGGAATTTCAGCTAATGAATGTATTCGGCAATTTGAAAAACCCTTGGAACCGCAATCGTCTAATATTCTAGTACTCTTTTAGAGGTCCATCTTGTCTATCTGTTGCAGGTCTTGCATATATTGCAATCGGGCGGATCGAACCAGTTTATCATATAGCTAACAGTCGAAAATTAAATGTTTGCATGAAAGGCATTTTGTTTTTAAAAGATATCTTGACACAATCAAACTCAGCATTGATCTGCTGTGTTCTATAGGAAGAATCGGTGGGAAAAATAGTTTTTTATGGAAAATTTATTTGTTTTTCAAGTTTGACAATTCACCCCGCATATATGCAAAATGTAAAGGGTATAATATCTTCGGCTGTCTGTTCTATCTTGTTTTTCTATGCATAATAGGCATTAGATGGTTTCTCAACATCTGCTCTAATGTCGTTTCTAAATAACAATATGCATTTCTTAGATTGTAGACACGTGTATCCAAGTTTATCTGGGCTAATATCAACTGTAATTGCCAATGCATTCGCGGCGTAAACAACAAAACACCAAAACAACAACAGGGCAACAACATTTCCGCATACGCAACGCAGCCGGTTCTATAAGATACATTTATATATATATATATATGTGTGTGTATATTTATTGTTATTGTTGTTTGTTTACTCGGCCCCGATTGGCTGTAATTTGTGGGCCCGACTGGCAGAAATGTGGGCAAAGAAGCTGTCTGCTAAGCACAAACACACATGCATATAATTAAATATACGCGCACACATACATTTACAAGGTGCTTAGAATGTATCTGTATCTTTTTATGTATCTGTACCTGTATCTGTAGCTGTAGCTGGCGTCAACAACACACAACGTAAACAACTCAAATTGCGCGTGGGCTTTCCTCAAGTACAGTGAAACCAGCAACAACAACAACAACAACAAAAAATCGAATTTCAGTTATCGCTCGGTAAACAACAACGTGTAATAAATTTAAATGTGCATTTGCTTTACGATGATTAATTCGGGCTGCAAAATACCCTACAGATAAGCTGCAGCAATACTCTATAATAATATACAATAGTCTATTAAGCAACAGAAAAAGCAGTTAATATATTAGTTAGTTTTTAACAAGCTCTTTTTACTTTCAGTTTCAAATAACATTAGTTAAGATTATGACATGCTTTAGAGTTACATTTCAGGTATTCAATAATTCAGCATTTTGTTTAAGAATTCAATTTGTTTTTTTAAGCGCTGGAATCGATCAGTATCTTCTGATCTCTACCAGTTTTAAATAGTATTTACATTGAGGGGTATTTACAACGGTGGGATATTTACAATTAAGGGGATAAACGACATGGCCTAATACTGTAGGGTATTTAGTTGATTCGCCTCGTAGGTAGGTCGCAGTGGTGTAACCTTTGGAGACGCATCTCTGTGATGGGGTCAGCCAGGACCCCGGCTGCCGAAGAAGTTGATCTGATCCCCGACCTTTGCTAGGGTAGGGTGTTCACAGACTTGAACTGTTTTGCTAGAACAAAAAGCACTGACAGGAGACTCCACTCTTTGCTCTACTTTTCTGCAGCGCAAACCCTTTTTTTTAACTGTAGACGTGCAAAGATAGTGTTGGAAAAAACACTTCTGTGATCTCCAACCTGAAAAGATAGTGTTGGGAAATACACTTCTTTTGTGATTTCCAACTCTAAGTACTTGCGAATAAAGTATTGGAAAGTACACTTCTTTTGTGTTTTCCAAAACGAAAACTAAACTTTAAAACTCGATTTGACTTGAGAAAACATAAGAAGAGAAGAAAATTCTAAACTCCACTCGTGTATTAACATTAAAGACAGGTTCGACTGGAACCTGCGCAGAATCTACCAAAGTCTTCTTTATGCAGCTTTTGGTGTAAACTGTGAATTCCCTAATTAATTACAGGTTAATCAGATATGCAGCTTTTGTAGGGAACTGTGAATACCCCATTTATTTTAGGTAAACTCAGATACATAGATGAAAGACCCAGAAGAGAACTATAGAAACTAAATCGAAACCAATTTCGAAACAAAACCTGGTTTATTACAATCGAATTTTAGGCGCCACACTGAACCTGAACTGAAGAATTTGTGATTTGAATAACAATAGTTAATTAATTAAATTATGTTTTTTAATTGTTAATTGTTGCACAAAAACATTTGTTTAGAAAATTTGACATTGCCAGAATTTTGTTGTAGCGTGTCTAATTGTCTGTGCCTAATGCGCCCCATTCATGAATTTCCGCAGAGTTCAAAGAAAATTTTGGCAGCGACATGAAAAAATATAAAATATTATAAGTCAGAGGTTGCAAAAATAAAGGATTACCAACATAACAAATCTGTTGTTAAATGTTGGTACGTAACATTTCCTTTCTGCAATCTGATTACGAATTTGTTTTATTTGGCTTCGGCATTTAATTAGTTAATTAAACAGTTGAATAGTTGCTTACGCCATCTGAAATGCCATAGGGTAGAAAATACGTAATGCTCTCTAGTATATAACATCGGAAGTCGCACATTTTCATTCAGTTTTCTAATCGGTTTTATTTTCTTTAATGATTTTGCACTCGTACAAATGCGTTAGTTTGTTTATTTCTCAAGAGCTCAAATACAATAACAAAACTATAAGACTACTATAAGACTAAATATATATATGTACATATATCTATATATATATAAGTGTATGTTTATATACAGAAAAAAGTAA